GTATAAATACCTGATTCTAACAGTGGCAGGAAGCACAGTGCTATGGGTGACTTGTTTGAAGGAGGACAGGACCCGGATTCAGGACAACCTAGGTCTGCCTTAGCTTTCCCACGTTTTCCCTATGTATCTTTAGACAAAGGTCCCCTGACGCCTTGGTCACCCTTCTGTAAAACTGGGATGATCCAGACCAAACTCCGTAGGTAAGCACGTGCCAAAGAGTGGCAAAGAGCAAAATGAAGACAACCGTTCGTGTGTCTGGGTCCTTGCTGGCACCGAGCGGATGCTCCCATCTTCCAGCAGGGAGGCAGGTGAGTGAGGGAGCCCATGGGGCCTGTGCACACGGGCCACCTGGAGGGCCTGCGAAGTGTGTTCCGACCCTGCCGGCCCGGTCTTGTCTGAAACAGCAGAGGCTGCTGGACAAGCACCTCCTTCAGTAACGGCCTGGCAGGAATGCTGGCTCTGCAGCTCTAGGGGTTAAATGAGGTCTGAAGTTCACGTCTACCCAGGACCTCAGGAAGTGACCTTATTTAGAATCGGGTCTTTCAGGTGTAATTAGCTAAGGATGTCAAGATGAGTCATCCTGGATTTGGTGGACCCTAAATCCAACAATGGGTGTCCTTAAAGGAGGACACACATACAGGGAAGAAGGCCACATGAGGACAGGCGAAGGGACTTCCCTGGTGGTCCAGAGGCTAAGACTCTGCACTCCCAATGCGCGGGGCCCAGGTTCGATCTCTGGCTGGGGAACTAGATCCCACATGCCGAAACTGAAAGATTCCCTCATGCCCCAACTAAAGAGTCTGCATGCCATCACGAAGACCGGAGATCCTGCGTGCTGCAAGTAGGACCTGGCACAGCCAAACAAATAAAAATTAATTTTTTTATTAAAAAATAAATCTTCAGAAGACAGAGATGGAGATTAGGGTGCTAGAGCTGCAAGCTGAGGAACTCAAGGACTGCTAGCAGCCGTCAGAGGCAAGGAAAGGGTCTCCCTCAAGGTCCAGGTAGGACGTGAGCCTGCTGTCTTAGTTCTGGCTGCCGTGATAAAACACCACGGGCTGGGTGGCTTGTAAAAAGAAATACATCTCTCGTGGTTCTAGAGGCTGAGGCGTCTAAGGTCAGGGTGCCAGCAGACTTGGTGTCTGTTCAGATTCTCTTTCTGGCTCACAGAAGTCTACCTCTCTGCGTCCTCACAGAGCAGACGGGGCAGGAGAGGCCTCTTGGGCCTCTTTTAGAAGGCCACTAATCCCACTGGTGGGGGCTCCCCTCTCGTAAGGGAATCATCTCCCCAAGGCCCACCTCCTAATATCGTCATATGGGGGTTAAGTTTCAACATATGAATCTTAGGGGAGACGCAAGCACCCAGTCCACAGCACCTGCCAATCCCTTGATTCCGGACTTCTGAACTCCACAACAGTGACAGGATAAACTTCCGTTGTCTCACGCTGTCCAGCCTGGGGTTATCTGTTATGGCAGCTCCAGGGAACGAATACGGCAGGAGTCTGAGCCTCCCAAGTGCACACTGTGCCTCGGCTAGCGACCTGCCCACGGCCCTGAGGTCACTGCTCCTCTCTCTGTATCCCACAGGTTGCCCTGATGGCCAAGCTTCAACAGAAAACCTGGCTTCTCCTGATCTCTGTTGAGCCCCTGTAACCTAAGCTCTCAGCTGCAGCAAAAGGTATTCAGTGAAGAAAACAAACATTGACAAGCATATTTTAAAAATAGCACAGGGACCGGGGGGGGGGGGGGGGGGGGGGGGCCACTGGGGCAACATTCTACTTGTTAAACTGGGTGTTGGTTTCCTTATTCTTTCTACCTTCTTTCTTTTCATGTGCACATTATGTACTATTATTACTAAGAAGCAGATCACATTTAAAATAAAAAATACAATGCATTTTTTAAAAGAGCTGGCTTGCAAAACCCAAACAAGCTAACAGCTCCAATCAACTCAATAATCCTCTAATGTCTCAGTGCCAAAAGAGAAGACTAAAATACGGGATGACAAATGTGAAAAGGCCTGCCCTTGGTCTGACGACCGCCCTCCACCTGGCACCAACAGTGGTAAATCACTGACAACTCAACAGTCTCAAGACATCTTCCTAAATAGATTTAACATCTGTGACTTGTGTCAGCCTCATCAGACACCTTCATTCTTTTGCTGGATCCAAGTGTTAAAAAAAAAAAAAAAAAAGCAACAGTCAATATATCCGACCTCTCGCCCTGGGACTCCAGGCAGGCCCTGCATCTTTCTCTAGAAAGGACCGCCTCTCCCACCGCCAACCACCATAGTTTCCTTCAGAGCCCTGCCAGAGGAGGGACTCAAATATTTTTTTGGACTGAACTTTAGACTCTCAAAGAGAAACAAATCTAAGGTTTAATCACCACCCACTACGGGCAGGAACACCTCAGAGAGGGACGGACAGAAAGACTGGAGAGACCAGAACTTGACAACTGCCCTGGCCACCAGGGGAGGAATGGGGCATTCCAACTCCATGCTGAGAATACTGATGAGTGCACAGCCTCCACAGAGGAGCATTAACCATTTAGATGCACGTGTCCTGTGGCCTGGCCACTCTTAGGAGGTTGCTGCAGTTGGATGTCAAACTCCATGAAGACAGAGAGGGTCTGAAGTGTCTCTGCTTGGCTGGAGCCCCACACACTTTTACTACCTATTTGCTCATGCGAGACTCAATCTATTCACTGCAGTTTGGTTTGTAAAAGCAAAATATGAGGGGCTTCCATGGTGGTCCAGTGCTCCCAACACAGGGGGCCTGGGTTTGATCTCTGGTCAGGGAAATACCACACCTAACACAGCACACAGCGGCAACCAAGACCCGGTGCAGCTCAATAAATAAATAATAAAAATAAATATTTTATAAAAAACCAACATATGAGAGACAACTTAAACAGCCATCAGTAAGGAACTGGTTATAAAGTCACCCACCCTTTTGATACAATGTGATACAAATTTACCAGTGGTTTAAAAGGGGTCCTTAGACCACCTCTAGAAGGGAACATTGTTATATACCAGAAACTAGTAACAATGAGGCCCTCCAGAGTGGGATAGGGTACAGGTATGGGGAGATCTGTCTGGTTTTTACTCTCACTTCCTTTTGTACTGCTTGATTTTATTCATTTATTTTGACCATGTATATCAATTACTTTGTCAGTTTATTCATATCTTTGCATATGTATATATATATAATATGCATGTACATACATATAAAATGTGTGCATGTGTATATATGTACATTTACAGATACACATACACACACACACACGTTTTAAATTACTCTGTTTGAATTTGGACAGAAAACCCCAATGGCTTTAGAACAAGACCCTTCAGAACATTCCAGCACCATCTTTGCAGGGAGAGAAGGGGGTGAGGGGTGGATAGGTGTTAAGAAGTACTGTGCAAGCCTTACAGGAAACAGTACATTATTGCTTTTTTTTTTTTTAACAATAAAGCCATCAGCCTCCTTCCACACTGCACACTTGCAAATCACACTCCAGGGAACTTAAAAAGTTCCAGAAAAATCTTTATCCCCAGCACCAAGCCAGGCTACAGTTTTGCAGTTTATCTCTAAGCAGCTGAAACATTAGCCTTCTCACTCCGAAGAGTGTTTCCTTACTCTCTCGGTTTATCAGCATCAAGGGCCCAAGGAGCTCTCCCAGGTCAGCAAGGAGACTCTGTCTGCAAGAGCTGGAGCCAGAGTCCCAAAGCCTGGCAATCCCTGCCACCAGGCGACACTGCGAGCTGGGCTGGAGGCACCCTAGGTGTTACAGCCCAGCTGCAGCAGTGCCCCCGCCCCCACCAGATCCTGGACTCTGAGACACGTGCTCAGAAAGCAACCAGGGGCCGCCCCTTCCAGCTCAGCCTTTCCGGACCCAGTCAAAGTCATGACTCCTGAGGAACAGCTGCAGGGAGGGAGGGTGGTTGGGGGTCCCCACCCTACCAATCCCTCAGAAATAAACACAACAGATGGGCAAAAGTGGGGGAGGTCCACAGAGAAGGGTCAGCAGCAATGCTCAGTGCTCGGGAAGAGGTGGGCAATGCCACTCGGGTTCAAACTGCTTTAGGTTCGTTGCTGGTAAAAATGGAGATAATTCCAGTTTGTCTGGCTGATAGGATTATGCTAAGCCCGGAAATCACTTAACAGACCATCATAAATGAAAAAATAACATCTGGGTGGGCTTTTGTTCAGGGGGTGGTGGTGGAAGGTGCCGTGATCCTGAGATAGCAAGGCTTGGGTGAATGTTGGAAAACCTGGATTATAGAGTGGGCACAAAAACAGGTGCATGTGGAAGAAAGTACAGGTGGGTGCAGACTGGGGGCGTTCAAGTCACAAGGGGCTGCCAAGGGCACCAGACAGGTGTGTACATGTGCAGGTGGAAGTACCTGAGGGCACTGACCCAGATTACTTAAGATGGGGGCAGTGAGAGGGTCGCAGACTTGGGCGTGAGAAAAGGCAGTGAGGGAACAGGAACAAGTCCAGACACGAGCGGGGAATGGTGAGTTTGGGGTCACAGGCTCCGGCGGCGGTGTGGGGGTGCAGGCTCAGGTGTGGTGGTGCCGAGAGGAGAGGAACGCCCTATGGTGTAGGGGCATCATCAGGGTAGGTCTCCGACGAGGTGCGAGGAGGGGTTCGTGAGTTGGGGGCGCGGTGTCAGGTGTGTGAGGGGGAAGCAAAATAAGTGGGGCCAGAGAGACAGGTGCGTGTAGGGATGCAGAGTCAACTGTGCGAGGCACCTGGGGGCATGACCCCGGCGGGGGGGGTGTCAGCGAGGCGGACAGTCTCAGGTGTCTGACGGGAGATGTCAACGAGAAGGGCTGTGCTGTCAGGGATGTGTGGGCTGTCGGCGAGGGCCTCAGATACGGCTGTGGGGGCCCCAAGGGGCATCAGGCGCGGGGTGTGGGGGTCGGGGGGTGGGCTTTAACCTCTCCCCGTCCCCGCGATGCTGCTGTCACGCCCCGCCTCGTCCGCCCCCGCCCCGGGCCCATGACAGGACTGTGCCTCGCCCTAGGTCGGCCCGACAGGCGCGGGCCCCCTCGACGCCTGCGCTGCCCCGCGCCCCCCGCGCCCCCTCACCGGCTGGGACGTGTCGCCACCGCCGCTGCCGCCGCCGCCGCCGCCAACACCTCCAGCCGCCACAGCCCCGCCCCGCGCACCCTCCGCGCGCGCCGCGGGAGGGGGCCCAAGCCATACTCCGATTGGCTGCGTGCTGGCCAACCACCCCTGGAGGCAGCGGATATTGGTGGGAATGAAGCGGACGAGCAGCCCCTGAAGCCAATCACTGAGGGGTGGAGGCGGGACTATTGGGAGAGGCAGTGGGGGCCCCCGGGTGGTCCAGCTGGGCGCGAGGCGCTGGGAGGTGAGGGCCCCGAGGCGGGCGAAGATTGGAGCCGCGGAGGAAGACGGGCAGCCCTGATGGCCAATGGCTGGGGATCAAGGGCGGGGCTCCGAAGAAACTTGCGCGACTGGGCTGGAGGAACTGAGGGCGTAGCCCGGAGCGTGACGGAGATTGGCTTAGAAGCAAAGACTGGCAAGGCCTGCGGCCAGTCCTAGGGGTCGTCGGCCGTGCGCCCAGGACGAGACTTGGAGCAAAGGAAAGTGCAGAATTTGGCCCTGAACGCGGTGGCCGGAGGTGGCCTCGAGCGTTCCCTGAGGCTGTGGCGAAGTCAGACCCTCTGGCCACCCAGGCAGAAGCAAGACCTCCAATTTAGGCCGTGAACTTGGCCATCACGGCCGAAGGACTCGTGAATAATTCAATTCCTTACTACCCACTATTCCGCTGCGGATGATACAGAGGGGACAGAGACTCGTGGAGGTCACTCAGCTGCAGCGCAGGGTAGTGCGAAGACGTGGAAATAGGTGGAATCCTACTCACGCGTTTTATGATTTTCTGAAAATGTTCTTCCAGGGATCAAATGACATCTGGGCCATCGCCCTGCTAAGCCTTTGGTGAATAAACCGAATCCTAGGACCACAAGCCCATGAGGTCAAAGCGACCGTTGGCTCCATTGTACAGAAACCAGAGCACAGACAGGTCAGCTCCTTGCCCCTGATCACACAGCACTTCAGCAGGCTCCAAGTAGCCTACTTTTTGGAAAAGGGGTGGTGAAGGCCCCACCTGCCAGTGCAGGAGATATAAGAGTTGTGGGTTCTGTCCCTGGGTCAGGAAGATCCCCTGGAAGAGGGCATGGGAATCCACTCCAGTATTCTTACTTGGATAATCCCATGGGCAACAGAGCCTGGCGGGCTATAGTCCATAGGGTCGCAGAGTCTGATACGACTGAAATGACTTAGAATGCTCGCAAGGCAGCGTCAGAGCTCAGCCACTGCAGGCCTGAGTGGCCAGCCACTGGCTGACGACACAACCTTGAGTAAGGCTCTCAGATTCCTCATGGGACAAAGATTGCTACACCTTGACCTTTCCTCTCTGGGGCTGCTCCTCTGAGAACTTATATTCCAGCCTTCCCCTTGACTTTCAAGTGAAAGCGTTTGCCCCCTCTGCAGGTTACATCTGGCCTGTGAGTCCCAGCTTTTCTATGAGGTGAGGGGTCATGGGATTCTTTGCAGATAGGGAAGCAGCTGCTGTCCAATGCTAGGCTGTGTCATTGGCACCTCTCCTGAACCCACCCCTTTCTCTGACTCACCAAGTGCCAGGGCAGAGAGGATTACAAATGTTCCAGATACTGGCTCTTATTTCCTATAGGTGTGGGCTGGGGTTGGTGGAGATTAAGTTCAGAGCCAGGGAAGCCTGGGAGAGAACAAGGTTGAGCTAGGCTGTGAAAATGGCTCACATTTCAGGGCTGTGCAAACCCCCTGCTAAGTGCATAATCCGTAACTTCTCAAAGGGCCTCTGTAAAGAAACAGTGGGGGGCACACAGGTGGGAGCCACTAGCCTGGGCCTACCATCTGACTCCTGATATTCCCAGCATATTCCCACCTGAGCCTCTTCTCAGGCATCTCCCAATTGTGGTTTGCTTCCCCTGCAACTTCCAGGCCCTGGGCTAGATTTTGTCCTCTGGAGAAGAGGAAGCTGCGTGCTGAACATCTGCTGGGTTTTGGGTCTTTCCTGAGCCAGACATTTCTCAAACACCATCTCATGACCTGACTTCCAGATGCAGGTGATGATGCCCATTTTGCAGATGGGAAAACTGAGCTCCGTGCAACAAGTGTTTCTTGCTGGGAGGGTCCAGGGCTGGGTTTGAACCCCTGCTTTTCTTGACTTGCTAGCCACAGGACCTTCCGCAAGTGCCTCAAATTCCCTTGCCTCAGTTTCTTCAATTAGCTCCTAGGGTTGATGGGAATGTCAATAAAATGAATGGAAGCAAACCATAACATGTTGGTAACAGCAAGTGTTTGCCCAATGTTGGCTGGATAAACTGTTCTTTTCAGGGTCTCTGTTTCCCTCTCTGTAAATAGCACCTGATGGAGTGTAGACATAGACCGACTATGGGTATGGTTTGCCATGCAAAGAGGGAGATATTTGTACTGGCGAAATCCCCAGCTGCAGCGCCACCTGCTAGGTCCTGTGAGGGCGGCAGCAAGCTCCTGGAAAGTCCCACAGCACCCCCAACTGGGGCAAGGGTCAGGCAGTGGCCCTGGAGGTGCTCGCTGGGCTCTGGCTTCTGTTTGCTCATCAGCAGGCTGGCACTGGCCTAGCTCTCAACAATGGCAGACAGTGCCTCTCAGCATCAGCAATAGACACCCCCCACCACAGGCACCTTGGCTGTACCTGGCCAGGGTGCCCAGGGGACCCTCTTCCCTGTCGGCTTGGCTTCCCCTGAGCAGGACACCGACTCTCTGCACCTCCAGTTCTCTCTGTGTCTCGGGAATCCCAGGAATCATCTGACATGACGGCCATGAGCCAGGCCTGGGCACGGTGACAAGGGCTTAATCAACCAAGGCTAGAGAGCCGTTTGCCCAAGGTCAGGTTAGCAACACTGGCAGAAGCGGAGGGGCATGCAGGCAGGCTGAGCCGGGCTCCCAGCCCATCCTGGCCCCTCAAGAGCCGGCGAGTCTGCTTCTCATCTGGAGAATGGGGTTCCCAGGCCCTGCCTCTCAAAGGTGTTCACAGTGAGAGAGCAACGTTGTTCCTTCCCCAGGACCCCAGGCCCTTCCCTGGTTGGAGGGACACATCCTTGCCATCTTGGACACCACAGAGATGACAGTCAGGACTGACCGGTTTCAAGGCAGCCTCACTCAGTGTCCCAGAGGCTCAGAGAGGTCAGGCCCCTCCTCTAAAAGCACACAGCAGTAGAGGAAGAACTGAATGACTGAATGTGGTGGCCCCTCCATTATAGCAGCTCCCCCCTCAGCCCACACTTCTGTCATCAAGGAGGACAGGAGAGAAGCGCTCTTCAGAAGAGTGCTGTGTGCCGGACACCCCGAGCCAGGCCATGCTGGGGGCTGCGCCCCTGTGCGGGGACACACTTAAGCCCATTTCCAGGTCACCTGAGGGGGCAGAGGAGAGACTGGACTGTGGGCTCTTCAGTTGGAGGTGGGGTTCCACCAGCCTGGGGATGTCCCAACAGGCCCTGACCCACACCCACTGCAGGCACACTCAGGCCAGGTGGGGAGACTGATAGGCAGGAGCCACCCTTCTCGAAGAAGGCTGCAGCTGTGGGAAAGCTGGCCAGGATTCCAGGGGAGGGGACTAGGGCGGCAAGGTCAGAGGCCTTCCCTCCAACCACGCTGTGGATCTGCTCACTCACTCAGGGTACATTTGAAAACACTGGTGGGAAGCTGGTGCAGAGCCGGGAGACAGGAGCCTGCTCATGGGCAGTGGGCTGGGGCGGGGGAAGACAGAGGAGGAAGGCACACGAGTGGGGTGACCTCAGATAGGGGCAGAGGCCAGGGACACAGCACAGTGGTCACGGGGCGCCAGGGCAAGGGGGCAATAGGCAATTTCCCTGAGAAGGCAATGGGTGAGCTGGAACCTAGTGCCAGGAAGGAGCCAGCCAAGGGGGGGCTGGGGAAGGATGCTCCACGCAAGGCATGACATGTGCAAAGGCCCTGAGGTGGGGAGGCTGGAGTGACCGGAACTGTGATTACAGGGCAACATGGGGAAGATGCGGTGGGAGGTGGGCAGGGCCTGGAGGACAGCCTGGTTTCATGTGGAGGGCAATGGGGAGCTACAGGGAGACTCAAGAGCAGAGCTGAGGCAGGAGTTGCAGGGCTGGCACCTCAGGCTTCCCCGAAATGGACAAGTAGTACCCACCACCCATGAGACAGATGGAGCAACAGGAGGCTCACGGGGCCTCCAAGGATACAAGACTGATCCAAGTTCTCATGGTTGGTAGCCTGGAGCGGGTATGAATCATCCCACCCACTGGCTGAGTCCCCAGTGAGCGAAGACAGGCCCAAGGGCCTGGGGCAGAGGTCTCATCAGCCCACGGAGCTGGCAGGGCCCTCCCCATGTGGAGGGGAGGTGGGACCCGGATGACGCTCCTCCCACAACTCTTCCCGCGGGCCAATTTCCGCCGGGACCAGGAGCCTCCTGGGAAAGGGCTTGCGCTGACTTCGAGGACTATTTCAGACCTTTTTCAGCCTGGAGGCGGCGACTGACGAGCAGGGTGGGGGGCTCAGAGGGCTGAAGGGGTCCTGCCCTGTGGGCTCGAGTTGGCGGGCCTGACGCCAGGAGGCCACCGGGGCCTGGGGTGGCCCTGACCTGCCTGGAACACGGGGGCTGCCAGGAGTGGCCAGGTGACCACGCCATGGGCCTGAGGGTGAATAAGGAGGAGAGCTGGGGTCTGCCAGGCACCGCTGCCGGGCGACACCTCTTAAGACACTTGCAGAGGGTGGGCAAGGCCGTCCACCTTACAGACGGGGAAATGGGTGCTCAGAGAGGGAGAGCTGGCTGCCCCGGCCGGCCGGCCACCCAGCACCTCGACACAGTTGGGGGGAGAGCGCAGGACGCTTCTCCTGGGGTGACTCGGGCGCTGAAGAGAGATGACCGGGTGTCTCCCATGCGCCCAGCTCTGCGCCACCGCCCTCTGGAGGGGGCTCTAGCCCCTCCCCTCTCCCCGTCTCATGGAGGAGGAAGTCAAGGCTCAGAGAGGTGGTGTCACTCGCTAAAAGCCACAGAGCAGAGTGGGGGCCAGACACTGAGTGCTACAGAGCCCCAAGGGCAGTGCGCCCTCAGACCCAGCGACGCTGGCACCCGCAGATCCCAAGTCTGATGACGACCCCAGCACCCACCCCTCTGAGAGTGACAGCAAATCATATATCCCAGGCTGTTCTCAAAACCCTTTGCTTTCCTCAGTGAACCCATGACCTCCCCAAATGCATACCCCTTTCCCCTGTCCCTTGAGGCCACTGGCTGCAGCCCCCACTCCCCGTGGTGCTATGGAAGAGACCCCTCCACTGTTCAACCAACAGTCTTTTATTACCAGGCTCCACTGGCTGGCCTGGGACACCTGGAGACCAAGGAGCCTTGGTCCCTGTCCTCTGCTCAGCACAGCAAGGCACCTGGGCTCCAACTTACAGGTGAGAGAAGCAGGAGCAGGGATGAGAATGGACTTGCAGGCACAGAAGCCGGGTCCCTGCCCTGCTTTGAGATCGGCCAGTGTGGCTTCCAGATTTCAGGCAGACTGCCAGTGGGAAGCAGCGCTGAGGGGGCACTTCTACCAGCAAAGGGCAGTAGGGTGGGGGTGGGTGACAGGGCGGACAAAGCTGATGCTCTTAGCCGGTGGCCGAGCAGAAGAGCGTGCAGAGGGGCTGGGACCCGAGGGCCACTTTCTGCCGTGCAGGTGCCTCACTAAGACTCCCTGCCCACTCCCTGGCCTCTGCCTGGTACCCGTCGGAAAGGTCCTCTTCTGGACGGGGGAGGCAGCTGGGGGCAGAGTGGCAGGGCACGGAGTGCTGGCCTGCCCCCAGGCGGTTCCCGAGTCACATGACTCGCCCAGAGTCACAGCGCGCATGGGCCAGCGGTCACGGTGCCAGGTCACCCTTCTGGCCAGTCCACAGCTCTCGGAGCTCGACGTGGCAGCCCAGGTCCCGCAGGGCGGCCTTGGCTACGTCCTCACAGTCGTGGTGGGTGGCTCGGGCTCGCGAGATGAGGGCCTCGGCCCCCAGGTCCAGGATGGGCTGTGAGAAGGCTTGGCTGCGGGCCACCAGGTTTCGGATCAGCATGCAGGCCTGTTTCTGGAAGGGAAAGCATGTCAGTGGCTGTGAGTCAGGAGGTGGGGCCCGGGGGTGGGGTCCACTCTGACCCTGGGGTCATCATAATACAACATGACTGCAGGCAACATGCGGTAGGTGCCTACGCTATGACTCATCAAGCTAGGCCCATGCCTCCACTTCAGCCTCTTGGCACTCTGGCTGGGCTGATCCCCCCAGCTCCCAGGTGAGGAGACTGAAGCTCAGGGTGGCAGAGTGTTGGGCAGCGGGGGCTGACTCCTCAGGTGTGGGACTCAAAGTCTCTGAGCAATGTCCTTGGATGCTGGCAAGAGCCCGGCCGGGGGAGGAGGGCAGAGAGACAGAGGGAAGAGCAGGGCTGTGCCCAGGGTCCATCAGTCAAGTACACTGTTGACTCATTCAGTGAGCATCTGGGCCCTCTGCCTCTGCCAGGCAGGAGTGCTGAAAAATACCCCAACATGGGAGAGCCGGGGAGAAGCAGGTGAAATGAGGGCCTGCCCGGTCAGGGTGGTCAGGAGTGGACAAGGTGATGGGCCAGCCGAGGGCACAGCGTCCTAGAGGAGGGAGCCAAGGCCCCCTGCGGGCCTGAGCCTGGTGAGTCTCCAGACCAACCAGGAGGCCCCTGAGTCAGGATGGTAGGGAAGGTGGGAGCGGGAGGAGGGTGCATTTCTGACAAGGCTGTCTTGTTTTGGCCCTGTCTATGCTTCAGCTTGACTGACCTCCAAAGCAGCAGCCTGAGGCGGGGCCGGGAACCTTCCATGAATCCCAGCAGAGCCCCATCTGCAGGTCCAGCCAACTCCTCCCCCCCACCATATCCCTCTAAAGAGACTGTTAGGAAAAGGAAAGATCAAATGCAAGAAGTGCAATGGAACAGGAGAGAGGACAACAGCGGGCAGAGTTCAGCACGTTTCTGGACACTGGGGGATGAGCAGGAAGGAAACCCTGGAGCCTTGGGTCATGGTGGTAATGGGACAGGTCAAAGAGGACCTGCACCCTCCGCTCTGCCCACCCCCGGGACCTGCTGGCTGGCCTCTCGCCCCACCTGCCCACCAGCCTCCCGTCCTCTCCGCCTGCCGCCCACGCCTACTTGGACGCCAGCCTCCTGAGGGTGGGCCTCCATGGCCTGCAGCGCGGCCTGGGCCCCGCCGGCCTCCACGATGACGCGGCTGTTCGCTGGCTTGCGCAGGGCCAGGACGCACAGGGCTGCACAGCTCTGCTCACACACCTGCGGGTGGGTCGGGGGTGGCTGAGACGAGGCGGACGGACCCCCCACCACCAGCTCCTCTGTGACCTCACTGCGACCGACTACTGTCCGCCTATATGTGTGCCGACCAGCAGGAACGGAAGCGATACTGGGCTGCGTCAACCAAGCTCTTAGGGGTGACAGTCTTGCCCCACCCTGGCCCTCATTCACCCTGCCTGCAGCCTCTGGCTTGCTGGCCTCCGAGGCCTGGCCTGGCTCCCAGAGATGGGAAAGATCATCAAGTGGATACAGGCGCTGATCTGGCTTTCCAGCCTTGTGGCCCCGCCTGGTATGCCCCCCGCCCTGGGGTGGGTACCTGGGGACTGGCCAGGTGCCGGGTCATGGCGGCCACAATGGACTCGGTCCCGCCGGCGCGGACGATGGCATCCTTCACATCATCATTGCCTGCGATGGCCCTCAGAGCACTCAGCACCTGCTTCACCAGCTCCTGGACAGACAGCAATGCACAGGTTACCCCCAGCAGCACCCGGGCATCATGTGCTGGGTTGCTGGGTGGTGGGAGGGGGTTCTTGAGGGAGGGTGTGGGGCTGTTTCAATGTTTGCTGTCTGAACACACATGGGACCACTCTGGGGCATGCAGGCGGCATGGAACAGCAAGGCTATCTATCACTCGCTGTATAGAGAAGGCAGGGGAAGCTTGGGGAGGTGGGCCCTGTGGTTCTGGCCACCTGCGTCCAGGACAGGCATTTGGATGACTTTGATCACCCCCTCGACCCCTCCCCAACCCCCGCCAGACACACAGAGGGGCGTGTGGCTCAGGTCAGCACCCAGAGCACGGGTGGCCTCGCTCAAGCATCACAGACTTCAGCTGCTCCCCCCACACCCACTCTGCTTCTCTCACTCCTGATTGAAAATACAAAGGTGCTAAAGGACGGGGGTGGGGGGGGGGGTGTGTGTGGTTCTGCTTTCCCCCTAAGCTTTAGTTCCTTCTCACAGGTCGTGACAAGCGAAAACCGAACTTTGATTCTGGGCTCTGCAGACAAGGCCAGCATGTTCTGATGCAGGCCTGTCTGGCTGACCAGGGCACAGAGGGGCAAGTTCACTGGGAGACCCAGAGCCTTTCCCAGACATCAAGAAAGACGACAGACTGAAATTCAGGTGAGGGACTTCCCTGGTGGTCCAGTGGTTAAGAATCCACCTGCCGATGCAGGGGGCACGGGTTCAATCCCTGGCCTGGAAAGATTTCACAGGCTGAGGAGCAACTACACCCGTGGACCACAGCTCCCAGGCCGTGTGCCCCGAGCCTGTGTTCTGCAGCAGAGAAGCCCCCACGGAGAAGCCCACGCGCTGCAGCTGGAGGAACCCCTGCTCACCGCGGCAACCAGAGAAAGCCTGAGCACAGCAGTGAAGACAGAGCAGCCGAGAATAAGGAAGGGAAACTCAGGCGAGGGAGCTTCACACCCTGAGACGGCTGTGGATGCCCACCTGGTGGTCACTGCAGTCAGCCAGCAGGGCCACCAGGACGCTGAGGCCCCCGAGGTCGACGACCTCCTGGCAGAACTCGTTGCGGACAGCCAGGCGGGACAGGGTGCTGCAGAGCTCGCTCAGGATGCTAGGATTGTCGGGGAACACTGCAGAGGGGGGAGAGGGAACCCGGGGTGAGGAGCAGAGAACCAGCCCTGGCTCTGAGCCGGCACTCCGGGTGGGAATCCCGAATCCCGCTCCACCAGGGCAGCCTGGCCGCTCTGCCTGGCTAGGTGGCTGCCTGCCTGTTGGGGTGGAGGGATGAGGCAGGGGAGGAGGACCACTGGGGGCTGCCCAGGCCTGCGGTGCCCCCTGCTGGCTGTTGGGGAAGACACGGGAATGTGCCTTCCCCTCCACTGTGCCCCAGATAAATTCCAGAACAACTGATGATCTCGACTAAAAAAAGAAAAACCATAATAGTGCTATAATAAAACATCCGAGACTATTTTTACGATCTTGGGTTGGGAATGACCTTTCTAAGTGCAACAGGACACCTAGAAACTGCAGAAGGACATATTGATAGAGTTGACCCAGGCAAAAATTAAACACAGATGCTGCAGACAAAGTTCAGAGGCACCAGGGAGGAGAGGCCTGACTGAGGATGATGGTGGGCGGGGAGGTTAGGGAGTTGCCAGTGGGGGGTGGTGGGGCACAAAGAGCCATAATAACACCGAGCTCAGTGATGGTCAGTGTATATGGCCCCCTGGCCGGGCCACAGCCCCCAGGGACTCTATGAACTGTAACCTGGGTGTGCTGTGGAGATACTCTGGAGATGTGGCGACATCCATGACCAGCTGACTTTCAGTCGAGGGCCTTAAGAGGGAACCTGAGGTCTCCCTCAAGAGGAAGCAGCTTGCTAATGGACTATAGTGCTGGCTCCTGCCCAAGCCTCAGCCCTCTACGTAAGTCTGAAAGCACTACAGCCACATGAGCCAATTTCTTGCAATAAATCTTCCTGTGTATATATGTATACATGTATGCCAAAACACACACACGTGCCCCCTACTGGTTCTGTCTCTCTGGAGCACTCTCACTGATATGAACTCCTGTAAATAAACAAGGAAGATGTAACCCACCCCTCAGAAAAGCAGCTCAACTTTGCAGCCCGTCAGGCCCTGTTTGTCCCCCTCTCTGGAAATGCAGAGGGGAGACTGGGTCAGGCCCTACTCCCCCACAGACAGACCCAGAGTCGCACACACGGGCCTGACAACAGAGTCAGAGCCACAGGGCAGGCTGCAAAGAGAAACTCACTCTTCTAGCACCTTCTGTGCGCAAGACCCCAGTCAGGCCTTTTCCAGGGGGTGCAGTGCCCAGGGGGCGGGAGTCTTGGTGCCCAACTGTCTGTGCTGTGACCTCCTGTGGCTGGCTCGTCGGGGTCACCTCGGAGTCAGGCACACGGACATGCACGAGAACAGTGGTCAAGTATGAACCAAAGCGTAAACCCCACCTGGAGCAGCCCCAGTGAGTGTCAGCAACACATCCCCGCCTCTGGGAGGCAGCACCCTTATTTCTCCCTTTGAGGAGCCCTCCCATCCCAGGCTCAGTCTGTGTTGCTGGACAGAATCAAGCACTTCCCTAAATGGTTCTAGAGGTGAACACAGCATGTGGGCCAGGCCAACGATCGCTGGCTTGGAACTTTCCTGGAAAAATGAGGTGTAAGGACAGGGTCCTGCTAGGGCTATCATGTAGGTGGGACTGAACTGGCGCCTGGGGCCAACCACGCTTGAAGCTGCCCTAAACCCTGGCTCTTCACTCTTGCCACACCTACTCCTACCTTTGGCAGCCTCAATGAGCACCTTTAAGCCTCCATTCTCCTGCACGATCATCTTGGCGTGGTCATGGGCATGGCCGAAGGGCACACGGATGTCATCGTCAAAGGTCATGACACGTAGGGCCCAGCAGGCCTCCCGGACCACGTCGGCACAGTGGCTGTGCCGGGCGATGGCGCCCGTCAGCAGGGGCAGCACGCCGGCCTTCACCAGGCTCTGCCGGTTCTCCTCGTGCTTCAGGCAGGCATGGCGCACGCAGCGGATCCCGGAGCAGGTCACGTGGGCCGAGTCAGCATTGTGGGCCAGCGTGGCCACGAGCAGCTGCAGGCCCTGGGTGTCCAGGAGGTCGGGCTGGCCATCGGTCAGGGCAGACAGGGCATTGAGGGCCTGGAGGAGGAGGCCCTGGTCACCCGCTGCGGCCAACTTCCAGGTCTCCAGGAGGATGGAGTAGGCCCCCTTCTCGGCTGCCAGAAAGCGGCAGGCCTTCTGCTGCTTGCACTGCTCGCAAAAGCGGGCAAGCTGTGCAGACGCCTCCTGCGGGTGAGAGCGGGCCACAGATTCCCGCAGGTCATCCAGGGCCTAGGGGACATGGGAGAAATGTCAGGGTCAGCTCAGTCCGAAGAAGGTCACAGTGACAGTGCTGGGCCCCGGTGGGATCCCTCTGCCTGGGATCTGGGCCTCGGTGGAAGTCCTGTGGGGCCAGTTCCAGCTGGGGCCGCTTCCACACCTGTGCTTTTAGGAGCATTGACTGGGCTTGAGAGGCCACAGAGAGAGACAGAGACAGAGGCCTTGCTATCTCAGTGTCCCCGACAAGGAGCCACAAATGCAGAAGTGCAGACAAAAAACATTCTAGCCCTGGGCGCCAGTGCATGAAGTCCCCAAGTGAGACCATCCAGAAGCACCATCCAGTTGAGATTAGTCAACCCAGCAAAATCACCAGAAACAATAAAATGGCCATTGTTTGGGGCTGTTTGTTAGGCAGCCGTAACTAACAGACACACCCACCAACGGCCAGCTCTCTAAGGAAGGTGAAAGCCACCTCCACCAGTTCTGCCTGTATCATATGCCTCGTTGGTCTCTCTCCTTCACTCCACAAGTATTTACTGAGCAACTGCCCAATGAAACCACACTGAACACATGCTTGGTTTACCCATGCTCAATCTAAGGCCTTGGGGGTAAAATTATAATGAGAGACAACAATCTGAATGGGACAGACAAGTCTAGTGGCCACTCAGAGCCATGACTTTGGGACTCGCCTCAGCCTGAGCCCAAGATGAACCTGAGCACCTGGAGCTGATGACATTATTGCATCCAGCCCTAAGGAGAGGGGGTCTACAGAGACCACCAGCCCAAAGGGCTTAGATTTGGCCTCAACTGCCATGATAGTCAACAATGCCTGTCAGCCAGCCCTTGCTGAGCTCAAATTTGTGGACTTAACTAAGCATATGTTATGATGAAACTGAATATTAAGAAATTAGTTAAAACCAGAATGTGTGACTTGAATAAACATTTCTTCAAAGATACACATACAAATGGCCACTAAGCACATGAAAAGATGCTCAACGTCACTAATCACTGCTGCTGCTGCTGCTAAGTCACTTCAGTCATTTCCGACTCTGTGCGACCCCACAGACGACAGCCCACCAGGCTCCTCTGTCCCTGGGATTCTCCAGGCAAGAATATTGGAGTGGGTTACCATTTCTGTCTCCAATGCATGCATGCATGCTAAGTCGCTTCAGTCGTGTCCGACTCTGTGCGACCCCACAGACGGCAGCCCACCAGGCTCCTCTGTCCACAGGATTCTCCAGGCAAGAATACTGGAGTGGGTTGCCATTTCCTTCTCCCACTAATCACTAGGGAAATGCAATCAAAACCAGAATGAGACACCATCACACCCATGAAGGTGGCTACTGTTAAAATAAAGAAACAGAAAATAACAAGTGTTAGCAAGGATGTGGCAAAAAGTGGAACCCTGTGTACTGTTGGTGGGAATATAAAATGGTGCAGTTGCTGTGGAAAGCAAGTTCAGTGGTTCCTCAGAAACTTAAACCAAGAGATCCAGCAATTCTAGATACACACCCTGAAGAACTGAAAACAAGATCAAAAATACGTTGGCACACCCATGTTCACAGCAGCATTATTTACAACAACCAAAAGGCAGGAGCAACCCAAATGTCCATCAGCGAGTGAATACACAAATGTGGTGTTTCCATAAATGGAATATCATTCAGCCATAAAAAGCAAAGAAATTCTGACAAGTAGTACAACACTTGTACCTTGAGGACATCAAGCCAAGTGAAATAAACCAGTCACAAAAGGACGAATACGGTGTAATTTCCCTTAGGTTCACATCCAGGGCTGTCTCCTCCAGCTTCTCTTTTTAATACTACTTTCTTTTGCAGCTAGGTGAGTCATTTTTTCTCTTTGGATCTCAATTTTCCCATCTGTTAAATGGGGATGATAACCCCACCCTTGCAGGTATCTTTGGGTTAATAACAGATGGCACAAAGCAAGTGCCTGGTATAGAACTGAATTCACAGATGGTTCTCAGAACTTTCTGCTGCTTTACCACCAGCTTACTAGTTTTCCTTAAGGAAAAGACTGAACCCCTGTGAGCTGTGTTTTCCTTGTTTGGGTCGCGGCAGAGTGACGGCAGGCTCTGGGTCTCTGTTCACCCATCAGAAAGCCAGGGATGATGTACTTACCGCATACAGGTCAGCTGAAGTGTGGCGAGGAGGGGCTGTAATGTGCCAGTAAACAGTCGATGCTCAATAAATGACAGTCTATGATTGCACTCTCTTTTCCTGGGATTCCTGTCCATTTCATTGAGCAAATTCAGAGCTTGGGAGGCCCAAGAGAGGTTCCTCCGGGGGGGCCTCCGCCCCCGGCTCCCAACACCAGGACAAACATGAACACTGTCCACCCCTTCGGCCCAGAGGGCTATCCATTCCCTGACCACTCTGTCAGCTCTAATCCCAGAATGCACACATGGGTGGGTGGGCAGAGCACGGGTGCCCCCACGAGGCCCTCAGACATTGACTCAGGAAACCCTAGCTGCACACTCAGGCTTGCCTGTGCTTGCTGCGCTGGCTTGGACCTTCTGAGTCTGTGTCTGCCATCTGGGAACACGGAAAAAGGTGCTCCCGACAATGAGGTGACGCAGGATCACGCACGTGAGGCCCACGTGGGCCACCCTCTCCTACCTGCAGGATGTCATGTATGGGATCCTGGGGTCCATCCGCGGAGACTTTTGGGGCCATCTTTACAATGTTGCTCAGATCAACCCCTGTGGAAGGGCGGGGGAGTCAGGAAACAGGAGACAGGCGTCAGCCCTGTGGGCCTGCTGGGGTCACACCTGGGGTCCCTGCAGCTGGGACCACCCCACTCTGGAGGCCTTCTGGGATCTGCCCAGCTCCCCACCCCACCCTCCCTGCCTGGGCAGGGCCCAGCAGCCATGCCTACATGGGGCGTGGGGTGTGGCGTCTCTGCACCTTGGCCCTGTCCAGCCAGCGGGGGGCAGAGGGGTAGTGAGGATGCACGCCAGGGCTGCAGTGAGCGACAACTCTGCCTGGGGGGCTCAGAGGGGAGTGCAACCTGTGCTCTCCTCCCTGGGGGCTCCCACTGGTCTGCACCCTGGCTGCATCCCCATCCTTGCTGACAGACCCAGAAGAAGCCCCCACTGTGCAGAACACGTCTAGGTACCCCTCCAGTCCCTGTCCAGTGTTTAGTCCCTACTCTATGCCCGGGATGCTAGCTCCTGACCTGGAAGGTTGGATCCCCGGACTTCCTTGCCCTCTGGTGTCTGACTGGGTTTGGCCAATGGGAAGCCGGATCTGAGGTCAGGGGCAGGAGGAGTAGGAGGATAGGGTGTTCATTCCCAGGTTCCTGCCTCTGCCTCTGTCAGGTGACCCCCATGGTTTGCCATGGCCTGTCGTGGGAGAGGGGAGGTCCTGCTGTGGGGAGCATGGTCTCCCAACCCTGCCCACATGATTGCAAACAGCTCCCTCTTAGCCATTCTCCACGGTCTGGCTTGGGCATGCTACCTGTTTTCAGAGGCTGGTGACCAATACCCCTTCTGCCTCCATGAGCTCACAATGGGGTGCAGGTGGGGCAGGGTGGCAGGTGGCCTTGTTTCTTTGGAGGGGGTTCAAGACAAGTCTCTTCAAGAAAGTGACCATTAAAATGAGACCCACCTGGAAAGACCCAGCCCTGCAGATGTCAGGGTGCAGTCCAGGCGAGTAGAGGGTAGGCACCAGCGTGGTGGGAGGGGGTGGCCAGCCTGCCTGGGGCACAGTGTAGAGAGGACGGCACCCAGGGCAGTCATGCCAGGAGGGATGTGCTCACGGCAGGACACCGCTCTTTTACATATTAGGAGCCATGGATGGGACTTCCCTGGTGGTCCAGTGGTTAAGACTCCATGCTTTAGCCACAGGAAGCCTGGGATTGATCCCTGGTCAGGGAACTAGAATCCCATGTGCCAAGTGGTGTGGCAACAACAACAACAAAAAGAGCCTCGGACTGAAGGCAGCTTTGGGGCAAAGAGCCGGACCGGCGCTGAGGCGGAGCCACATTGCCCTACCTTGTGATTCAAACTGCTCCACGGCTTCTCTCACCGCCTCCTCCGGCTCCATCTCAAACTCCTGGATGTTCTCGCAAACAGCTGCGTCAAAGGTCTCCTGGGTGATACGCTTGGAGGCCATCTTTATCTCCTCCACGTGGGGCCAAGGACACCCAATAGTTGCTCTCAAGCTGGAACGGTAGAAGTTAGACTTGTTGAGGGTCAGAGGGCAGCTGAGAACCTGGCCACCATCTAGAGAGCACCTATCAAGAGGCCAGAGCCTGTAACTATCCTGGAAAAATTCTAACAACCTGAGTCACAGCAAAGGGTGATATCCCAACAGCCATAGACCGTCTAAAAGTACAGAAGAAGGCAGGTAGTTTAGTGTGTTTTATCTAAATAGGGCATGTTAATATAATGTATGCCCTTATAGTAAAAGTTGCTATTGTTGTTTAGTTGCTGAGTTGTGTCCGACCTTTTTCAACCCCATGGAATGTAGCCCACCAGGCTCCTCTGTGCATGGAATTCTCCAGGCAAGAATACTGGAGTGGGTTGCCATTTCCTTCTCCAGGGGACCTTCTGGACCCAGGGATCCAACTCCATCTCCTGCATCAGCAGGCTGATAGTTTTACTGCTGAGCCACCAGGGAAGGGCCAACAGTGAAAAGCAGCAGTAGTGAAACAAAGGTGAAATAATATCTTAATAATACATGTTGTGGAATTCCCCTGGTGGTCCAGTGGCTAGGACTCCGCACTCTCAGTGCAAGGGGCCCGGTTTCGACCCCTGATCAGGAAACTAGGTCCCACACGCTGCAACTCAGAGTTTGCATGCCAGAACTAAAACGCCCACTTGCCACAATGAAGACCAAAGATTCCGCCACAGCTGAGACCTGGAGCAGCCCAATACATAAACAGTTAAAGAGTGATAATAATATTATGGTGTATGTTATGTGATTATAATAACATTATAATATAAAGTTACACTACTCTGTTATACAGTTATGTACTTTATATGTAATTATACAGTGAAATAACGTTATCATAGCATACCATGGCACTAATACAATATAAATGAAATTAATAATGATGTTAAATAACTAAAATGAATAATATTAAATCATATTTATTACTTATTACTTTTTAAACTTTTAAATTTTTTATTATTTATTTATTACTACTAATAAAAAATAAGTAAATTAGAAGCTAACAGAAATAGTTACCTGTAAGAGGAGGTAGAGAAAAGGGTGGTGAGAGCAGGAACAGAAGCTGGATTATTCTCTCCTAACGTACCTTGCTTTAGAGGGTTGAATTTGGAACTCAGGTAAATGATTTATGTGATTAAGAAAAGAAATATGCCAAAATAAAAATAAAAGCAATCCCTAAAAATTAACAGCAAAATGAAACCCATGAACCTAACGGTATGTCTCTGTGGATGAGATCATTTCAGGCAATTTTAAAGCACAGTGATATGACTGCATATTCTAACTGGGATCTACCCTAAAGATGAAAGTGAAAGTCGCCAGTCACGTCTGACTCTTTGCAACCCCACGAACCTGCGGAATTCTCCAGGCTAGAATGCTGGAGTGGGTAGCCTTTCCCTTCTCCAGAGGATCTTCCCAACCCAGGGATCGAACCCAGGTCTCCCGCATTGCAGGCAGATTCTTTACCAGCTGAGCCACAAGGGAAGCCCAAGAATATTGGAATGGGTAGCCTATCCCTTCTCCAGCAGATCTTCCCAACTCAAAAGACAGAACTGTAAAAGAAAGTCTTCAACAGTTTTCGGTTTTCAGTAATCATGTTATTGGAAACCTCATTAGTAATATTATTTGGAAATGATTACAGATACAGTAAATAAGTAATGATGTTTATATCATGAATAACCAGCATAAAAGAAAATAAGATTTTAACAAAATCAGAGAAGTAAAAGCTCAGAACTCCTAAATTTGAACTGGAAATACAACATGAACTCATTTTCTCTTAAGCAAATAAAGAACCAATTTTCTATTAATATGAACTAAAAATGCCTGTAGAAAATAATACTACAGCAGCAGTGAGCACCCTGAACACCAACTGTGGTCTCTACCATTTCCCACCAAAGAAACCAGGGCTCTTGGAGAAAGAGTTGATTCCAGTTTCAGGCAGGAAACAGGCCAGAGGAGCCAAGAGCATCAGATGAGACCAGAAAGCAAAGAAGCATCTAGAGACCACTGGGGTCACGTCAAAGGACTCAGGAGCCAACCCGCTGGGGCACCTGCTAGCTAAAGATGGGATAAGTGAGCATTAAAAACAAAACAAAACAAAACTACTGAGCCCACAAGCCACAACGAAGATCCCGTGTGCTGCAATGAAGACCCAAGGCACCCAAACAAACAAACAAGTATTTAAAAAAATTTTTTAAAAGGACACTCTCTTATACATTCACAGCAAAACTGAAATTTAACACAAGAGATTTAACACTGACAACAATGCTATTTTCTAACATACAGTACACGATGGACTTTCTTGATTACTGTAATATGGTCTTTTAGAACAGTTTTGTTTTTTTCTGGTCCTGGGTCCATTCCAGAACCATGTGTCACAGAAAGCACAGCAGCTGTGTGAGGGAGATGAAGGCAAAGATGGCACTAGGCCAACGGCACGGGAATGTGCAAGTGTGGGCCGCGGGGGAACGGGCCACTCAAGCCCTCACTTGCCTCTGTGCAGGTGGCACGGGATGTGACTGACTGTTCCACCTGTGTCTGTGCAGAAGCTCAGGGTCAGGTGGGGGAGGGCAGGCTCCAGGGCAAGCAGGAGCGGTGGGGCTGTTGGTCAATTCCCATGAGTGACACAGGGACAAAGAAAGAACCTGCCTCACAGAATGTAGTGAAAATTCCACCCACCAATTCCAACAAAGCACTGAGAACTGGATTTGGCACAGAGCTCAATCAACATCACTCGGTTGTTCTTTTCCTCTTTTGCTTAAGAGGTGCTTTGGCCAGTTTCTTAGGGGGTAGGGGATTTTAGGGACTTAAACACTTTGCCTCTCTCCCTTGCAGATCTACCCTTCTTTATTTCCCAGAGCAGGGAGGCTGTTCAGCGGTTGCTAAGGATTTCTAAATCAAAGCTGGAGGAAAAGAATAAGGATTTTCTGTTTCAAGATAAGAGTTTCTCCATCCCGACAGTCTGTGTGCTGCAATGAAAGATCCTAAATGACAGAGTGAAGATCTTGGAGGTGCAGCTAAGACCCGATGCAGCCAAATAAATAATTAAAAAAAAAAAGATACAAGAATTTCTCAGTGGGGAGCCTGCTCTGGTGGGGGGAAAGGGTCCTGACCAGCTCTGGGGCTGGGTGGTACTGGGGGGACTCTGCTTCTGGCTATGCCACCACATGTTGCTTCCACCACCCTGGCCATGCTTCAGACCCAAGTGGGCCAATGATGAGAGGCCACTGGGTCACAGAAGAACTTATAAAGGGGAATGTCATTGTGCCTACTTTAAGGATGACGAATCCGAAGCTCAGAGAGGCAGCAAGAAACCTGGCCAAGACCCTGTTTGGTCTCATTAACACTTTCCCTCCACCAAGGTCCTTTGTGGAGCTTCCACTAGCTTGTCCAGGCTGCCTCCTCATGGGAGCCTTCCCTGGCTACTCAGACAAAGCCTGTGTACCCTCAGCTCTTCCCAACTCAGGAACCTCTCTCTGCCCAGCCCTGAGATCCCTGGGCTAGGGAGGTCAGTGTCTGGCTCTGGAACCACCATTTACGAGTCCTTCGAAGTCCCCTAGGTCCAGCACAGCCTGTGTGTTGGGCTGGGGGCAGTGATGAAAGTACAAGGCTGGAGCTCATGAGATAGAGGTGCCTGGGAATGGTCATCTGGGAGTCACCTGGGAAACAGTCCAGGCCAGGAAAGGAGAGAAACAGCATTACCAGCCTTCACGCTGCATCCAAGGCAGGCTGGGCCCTGATATTCATTGCAGCACTATTTACAACAACGAGGACCTGGAAGCAACCTAGATGTCAATCGGCAGATGAATGGATAAGGAAGTTGTGGTACATACACACGATAGAATATTACTCAGCTCTAAAAAGGAAAGCATTTCAGTCAGTCTTAATGAAGTGGATGAATCTGGAGCCTATTATACAGAGTGAAGTGAGAAAAAGAAAGACAAATACTGTATATTAACACATATATATGGAATTTAGAAAGACGGTAATGATGATCCTACAGGCAGGGCAGCAAAGAAGACACAGATGTAAAGAACAGACTGTTGGACTCTGGGAGAAGGAGAGGGTGGGATGATTTGCGAGAACAGCATTGAAACACGTATATTACCATATGTAAAATAGATGAAAAGTGCAAGTTTGATGCCTGAAGCAGGGCACCCAAAGCCAGTGCGCTGGGACAACCCAGAGGGATGGGGTGGGGAGGCAGGGGGGTTCAGGATGGGGGACACATGTATACCTGTGGCTGATTCATGTTGATGTATGGCAAAAACCATCACAATATTGTAAAGTAATTATCCTCCAATTAAAATAAATAAAATTCTTTTAAAAAGGCATGCTAGGGAGAAGGAGTTATCAAGAAAACGGTGCCCTGACAAACCAGGAGCCCTGAATGATTCATCCTCCTCCGCCTGCCACACTCACCTTGGTTCAGGTGGCATCACCTGCTTCCTCTCCACGAGGCAGCCAGAGGGTGAATGGAAAGCAGAGAGCATCTCACTTACTTAAAACCCTGCAGTGGCTTCCCAGCCTTCTCTGAACAAAATCCAGTCTCCTTACCAACATTTGCCTTACGTAGACCTTCTCACCTGTGCCTACCCGAGGGACATCCTTCATAAAGCAGCCCCCGCTCTCCTACTCTTATTATTTTAACATTATCTCAACATGGAGTGAAATGTTCCTTGTATTTATTTGCTTTTACTGCCCTAGCCTCCTCCCCAATGAAATTTAATCTCCATGAGAGCTGGGGCTCGTTCTATTAAATACCCCCACTATCTAGGATGCGGCCAGGCATGCAGCAGGCACTCGGTACATATATAGGTGTGAGAGAATGAATAAATGAAAAGAAAACGACGGGCAGAAGAGTGGGCAATTTTGTCCACGGGCGGCTTCCGTAAGTCTATCATTTACCCAAAGCCAGGTCCTCGAGGAGCGCGCCCCCGTCACTAATCCGAGCCCGCGGCGTCCACTCCCGGCTCCTCGCGCGAGGGGGCTCGGCGGCCGCCGCTTCTCACCCGGTCTTCGGGGCCACGTGGGGAAAGGGTGGGGTTCGCGGCGGTCTCCGGCTGCACCGCCCCTGGTCCCTTTCGGCCGCCGTACGTGCGCAGGCGCTCTGGCGAGGACGCGCCTCGGCCTCCGTCAGCCCTGTGAACCGCTCCCGGGGTGACCAAGAGTGACCGCGAGTACAGGTAAAGATGAGAGAGCCAACAGGTTTGTGGCGACGGCGTCTTTGTCGCCCTTTTCGGGTCGCTTCCCGTCGCCGCCGGCCCAGGGAGAGAATTTTTTTTGCCTCGAGAGTGTCCGCCCTGAAGGTTGGGCAGTGCGCCTGCGCGAGAGGCTTTGGCGGCGGCCGCCTGCGCCTGTGCCTTGAGGCTCGGCCGCGGCCTGCGCCTGCGCGGCGCGGCGCTGCGGAGACCGTTGGCTTATTTGCATGTCCCCGCCTCGCGCGGTGGCGGTGGCGGGTGAGGAGCCTGAGGCGGTGGCGGGGGCGGCTCCGCGCGCGGTGGGCTCGGGGTGAGGCCCGGGCCCAGGAGTTGTCGGCGGGTGGGCCTGGGGGTGGGGGGATTTGGGCTACATCCCGGGAACCCCGGGTCTCCACGGTGGCGCAGCGGGCTCGTCCCTTGGACTGCGCGGCGGACGCATCGCGGCCGGGTCGGCCTGAGGGGCGATCTGCGGCCTTCGAGGCCCGACGCCCCCTTTTCTTCGACCTCAAAGGCCGGGAGGAGGCGGGCCGCGCCTGAATGGGTTCATTCGTTCGTTCATTCATTCAGCCTGAGCCGGGATCGGCCCCTCTGGTGGGGTGATAACGGCGGCGGGGTGCCGACTCCGCCTCTTTAGACATTTTTTTAACTGGTTCGGTCCCCACAGCAAGCCCTACCATGAGCTGCCCGTTCCATAGATGGGGAAGCGGAGGCACAGAGAGGTTAGATCACTTGAATTGATTCTGGGCCAGCTGGCCGGGACACCCTGCCCTTCTATAGCGGAGAACAAGGGGGCCAGGGGAAAGGCCTGAAGGATAGGGAAAGTGGGTAATGGTTATAAGAAATGACTGTCAGGCAGGGGCAGGCTTGGGTTTTGAGGTTGGAGGTTTCTAGATGGAAGGGATATCTTGCTGGGTAAGGACACGGCCACTGGATTTCTCAATATTGCTTCTCAGCCTTTTTCTAATCAGTCTTCAGGGCTTTGTCCCCACAAGGAGTGCCCTGTTTGCCAGGTTCCAGCCCAGGCTGGTTGACCTTGGATGGGTCACTTAGCCTGAACCTCCCTTTTGCACTTTTGTGTAATTTCATTCATAATAGGCCCCACTTGTTTATGGGGTTGTTGCAAGAAGTGTTGAGGGAGTCCCTCCCCTTCAACAGGAGCTGGCACATAGTAAACTCTGTCAGTAGGTCTTGTCACTAGTCAGGGATTTCTCCCCTCACTTGCTGAGATGCCTCTGTGAGAGGGGAAGTTAGCTCTCAGAGCCTCTTCGCCATGTCTGTGAAATAGGAAAATAGAAATGGGGAAAATATGTCTTTCTTAAACATCATTTGTAAAGGTTTATGCTCCTGTTATGTGTGTTGCTTTATACAGTCTTTTAGCAGCCCCAGGAGACAGAGCTGCTTTTATAGTGCTTCTTTTAAGGGATTCTGAGAAAATGGCCTCAGAGAAGCAAAATAGATTGTCCAAGATTGACATCCTTGTCTTACTTCTTCTTAGCCAACCCACACCTGTGAGGTTCTTGTGGGCAGAGGTCCCCTTAAAATAAACTAGCCTTCCTCTGAAGTGCCATACCAGATTATGGATTACTGCTTGGTTACTCTGAGGATTAAGTGGATTAGATCAGGCTTTGTGAGCATTAGTTGTCACTGTTAGTGTCTTTTTACCCCTCTTCTCATTCCAGGTCAGAGAAACATGGCAGCAAGGAGGATTGCACAGGAGACTTTCGATGCTGTGTTGCAGGAAAAAGCTAACCGATATATGGACCCCAGTGGTGAGGCTGTAGGTGAAACTCTTCAGTTTAAAGCTCAAGGTAAATTGAAGTGTGTGGTTTTGGGGGGAGTGAGGCGGGTGGATGGAGCATGTGTTTAGAATTGGGGCCCAACCTGCAGTTCCTCAGATTTTACCTTCTTAAGTGGAGATAAAATTTTCTCTTGGCCCACCTGTTAAATCATTATGTAGAAGGAGGTATTGTCATTATCCAGAGCTTCTCCCCAGGCACCCTGCCCCACCTAAAGAAGGGTTCTTAAATAAGTTGCCTGACTCCGTGCCCACTATCACTAGGCCGCTTTGAGATCTTATCAGGTCTTACCTGGATTTTTGCAGTAATCTCCTCCTGAAATGTCTTTCACTTTCTGGCTTCATTCCCTCAAATCTTCTCACCCCACAGATCTATTAATGCTAACTTTGCAGGACCAAGGCCAAACTTAGGCTCTTGGGGCTCCCTGTTTTGGTTTTACATCCTCAGACAAGTGCAGGAGCAGCCAAGTAACTAGTATGCAAGGTAGGAGGGCCTTGGAGCCTTGTGGAGCTGCTGAATGTAGGCCCTGCCTGAAAACATTCCTTTTGCAAAGTTTTGAAACATCATGTCAGCAGAATAAAAAATGGTCCTAGTGTAAATTGCAGGACAACTTGGAGGTCCTGCCCCACAGTGCATGAGGCTCCTAGCTCCCATCCTCTGCCTTAGGCCTGTTGTTTCACTGACACTGTGTGCTTGTCTGTGTTGTGGATCTCTCATCTCAGCTCTGTGTGATTAATTCCCTCAGTCAGTAAGACCTGGTCCATAGGTGTCTTCCCCCAGGAGGCCCTAGTAGGCCTGGAGATTGATTTTACACTGTGTACTTGATCCCCTGCCATGGGCTGGCCTCCTCCAGGCCTCCTTTGGGCCTGTACTGTTTTTGCTGCTTTGCCAGCCCTTGAGCCAGCCTTGGTGTAGAGAAGCCTTCCTCGATGTTGGCTGGATGAGTTTAAATGCTTGAGGTGGGGATAACTTATTTTGTGCTTTGGACCCAGAGAAACTGAGGCTTAGAAGCTGTCTCCAAAGTCTTGAGTTTTCAAAAATTGTATAAGCAGCAGACAAAACCATTCCTGTTACAAAATATTGGAAGGATTAAGTAGTTAAGAACAGAATGTCGGGACTTCCCTGGCCATCCAGTGGTTAAGACTCCACACTCCTAAGGCAGGATTTGATCCCTGGTTGGGGAACTGAGATCCCACATGCCGCACTGCGGGGCCAAGAAAAAGAACAAGATGTAAAAAACCTCTTTGCTGCCTCCTTATTCCTTGGAAGTAACGGTATCTGTGGTGTTTTGTGCATCCTTTAATTCCTTTAGCCATATATGAATCCTGAATACTTCATGTTTTTATATGTATACACATGTATGTTTGTGTGCATATGTACATATATACGTATATGTAAAAACACGTGTATGTGTGTATATATATGTATATATATATAGGAGAATATATATATATATGTATATATATATAGGAGATTTGAATTGGTTTCTATTATTTAGAGACTCAAACACTAATACATATTTAAGTTACCTCAGGGAAAGTTGGGGGAGGGGGAGACCATGAACCCAGTAGGATGCCAGATGGTTCTGGAACCATCTCTGTGTCATGGAGCTACGTGGTCCATCGGTCAGCCTCTCTCTCTCTGCTGCATTTTTCTGAGGCCTTGTAAACCAGGTCCTGTTGGGCAGAATCCAGCCACTGCTCTTCCTCTAATGCTCCCACCATAACCAGGCCGTCAGAAACCATCAGTACCTGGATTATCTTGGTGGACTCCTTGCTGGAACTTCCACTCTTGTCCCTTGCAGTCTGTTCCCCACATAGCAGCCAGCGAGGTCATCCTTTTGCTCCAGACCCCCCATGGCTTTCTGTCTCATTCATAGTAAACTCTGGAGTCCTGTCATGGGCCTGGCTTGATCTGGTTTGCACCCACTTCTGTTTGCATCTCATGTCATAGTAGTTCACTAATTTTGCTTCATGTTAGAATCCTTTGGGGGCTTTTTAAAAGTCCTAATGCCTAGGTCACACCCCATCCTAGTTAATTAAGTCAGGGTGCCCCAGGGCTTCAGTGTGCAGCCGAGTCTAGGTGTTGCCTTCTTACCACTTTGTCCCTCCTTCCCTCTTGCGCTCTCACCACCTTTGTCCTGTGCTCATCTCAGGGCTTAGTCCTCACGCTCCCTCTACCTGGTAGGCTTCCCCATAGCTGCTCATTCTGACCCCTCACCCAGGCCTCTGCTCCTCAGATGCATTGTTGTTAGAGCTGCTCACCCTGACCAGCCTGTTTAAAAATGGCTTTCCCTTTTCACATTCCCGCCGGTTTGGCATTTCCTTACACCTGAAAAATTTTTGTTTATCACTTGGCTTCTTCAACTGAGAAGTCCAGGAAAGTAGGGACTTTGCTGTGCCTTTTCCCTGCTATAACTTCAGGGCCTAGAGCAGTGCCTATATACAGTGGGTGCTTAGTAAGTACTTGTTGGACAGATAAACTTGGATTTATACAAAGCCCTTGATTCCTGTGGCTTGTTGACCCATCACTACTTCCTGGCATCTTTCTCTCTCTTTTACATTTGACTTTTTGACTAGGTAATAGATTCTGAATCAGAAAGTAAGAAAGGTGCTCTGTGCAAATGTCTCCCTGAGGCCCTCTGTTCCCATGTGCCCATAGTGTCTTCTGTTTTTGACTTCTTACAGTTTCTTTTTTCTTTTTGGCTGCACCATGCTGCATATGGGATTTTAGTTTCCTGACCAGGGACTGAACCCAGGTTCTTGGCAGTGAAAGTGTGAAGTCCTAACCACTGGACTGCCAGGGAATTCCCCTTACAGTTTCTGTATGCATGAATAAACAAATGCAACATAGTTTCCTATTTTTCTCATTTCTGCGCAGAGGAGGACAAAAGCACATACTGTTCAGTTTCCATTGTGGTTTCTGCTGTTGTGGCCTGTTTAACTTCTGCCTTCCCTCTTATTTGCTCAGTCTCTTTTTTCAGGTATTGGTTGGCTTAATGACCCTTTCTGAGGGAGCCTGTCAGCCACCTTTGGATCAAGTGCGCAGCTAAGGTCCAGCCCGCAGAGGTGGCCGCAGTGTCAGATGTAGCTCCTGCCCCAGTGGCACTGTTGGCCAGGAGCTCCTTATAGGAAGCCGGGGAGGCAGGCAGCCTCTAGAATGCCCGTCTGCTGTGTGATAGAAGTAGAAATACACAAGTGTTTCGGTCACAGTAAAGAAGACCAGGTTATTTGGGAACCAAATGCCCATCCCTGAGTCTAAAAGAAGGCTTGTAAAATAGAAAGTGAAGTGAAAGTGAAAGTTGCTAGCTGTGTCCAACTCTGCAACCCCATGGAATTCTCCAGGCCACAATACTGAAGTGGGTAGCCGTTCCTTCTCCAGGGGCTCTTTCCACCCCAGGGATCAAACCCAGGTCTCCTGCATTGCAGGCAGATTCTTTACCAGCTGAGCCACCAGGGAAGCCTTGTAAAACAGAGGTAGGGCAACCGATCTGAGTGAGTGAGCAGCACTGCTGCCTAGCCTCCCTGGACTATCGTCAGGCCAGATGCAGGCCCAGTACTCATAACTCTTCTGTTTGCATAAGTAGAAACCTAGGTTTTTAAGTGAAACTACACATATTCTCCATGTGAGTTTCTAAAATGCACTCTGACTGGGAAAGCACCCTGCTGGTGGTCTGCAGATCACCCACTTGCAGCCTCTGGTCTGACACATACCTTTGTGTTTCTTTTTGGATTGCTTATTTCAGATCTTCTAAGGACAGTCCCAAGAGCCAGAGCAGATATGTTTGATGACATTCACAGTGACAGCAGGTACACTCTGAGCGCATCTGTAACTCATCCTCGAGACACTGGGAGAGAAGGCCTGAGAGGTGATATATTTCCAGGACCTTCCTTCAGGTCAAGCAACCCTTCTGTAAGTGAAGACAGCTACTTTCGCAAAGAATGTGGTCGGGATCTGGAATTTTCCCACCCTAACTCCCGAGACCAGGTCTTTGGCCACCGGAAACTGGGACATTTCCGTTCTCAGGACTGGAAATTTGCACTCCGTGGCTCTTGGGAACAAGAGTTTGCCCACTCAGTTTCTCAAGAATCCTCTTGGTCACAGGAGCATAGTTTTGGCCCTTCTGCATTACTGGGGGACTTTGGCTCCTCCAGGCTGATTGAGAAAGAGTGCTTGGAGAAGGAGAGTCGTGATTATGACGTGGACCGTGCAGGGGAGGCGGACTCTGTGCTCAGGGGCAGCAGCCAAGTCCAGGGCAGAGGCCGAGGTCTAAACCTTGCTGACCAGGAGGGTGCTCTCTTGGGAAAGGGGGAGACTCAAGGCCTGCTCACTTCTAAAGCTGGGGTTGGGAAACTTGTCATGCTGAGAAACGTGAGCACGAAAAAGGTACCCACTATGAGTCGTGTCACTCCCAAAACTCAGGGCACTAACCAAATCCAGAAAACCACCTCAAGTCCCGACGTGACCCTGGCGACGAACCCAGGGACAGAAGAGGTCCAGTTCCCCACCCGGAAGGTCCCTCTGGGGCTTGATCTAAAGGATGTCCGGCTCCCCAGGAGAAAGATGAGCTTCGACATCATAGATAAGTCAGATGTCTTCTCGAGATTTGGGATAGAAATAATCAAGTGGGCAGGCTTCCACACCATAAAAGATGATGTTAAGTTTTCCCAACTTTTCCAGACTCTCTTTGAACTTGAAACAGAAACCTGTGCTAAAATGCTCGCCTCATTCAAATGCTCCTTAAAACCAGAGCACAGAGATTTTTGCTTTTTTACTATCAAATTTTTAAAGCACTCTGCTTTGAAAACACCCAGAGTTGATAATGAGTTTTTAAACATGCTTTTAGACAAAGGTGCTGTGAAGACCAAAAATTGCTTTTTCGAAATCATAAAGCCCTTTGATAAATACATAATGAGACTACAAGACCGGCTGCTGAAGAGTGTCACACCCCTGCTCATGGCCTGCAATGCCTACGAGCTGAGTGTCAAGATGAAGACCCTCACTAACCCCTTGGACTTGGCTATTGCCCTGGAGACCACCAATTCTCTCTGCCGGAAGTCTTTAGCTCTTCTGGGACAGACATTCTCCTTGGCCTCTTCCTTCCGGCAAGAGAAAATCCTGGAAGCCGTCGGCCTCCAAGATATAGCTCCATCTCCTGCTGCGTTTCCAAACTTCGAGGACTCTACTCTGTTTGGGAGAGAGTACATCGATCACCTGAAGGCCTGGCTGGTCAGCAGTGGGTGTCCACTGCAGGTCAAGAAAGCTGAATCTGAGCCAGCCCGAGACGAGGAGAAAGCTGTGCCTCCTGCAAAGCCTGACATTCAGGCCAAGGCTGTGAGTGGTCTGAGCGATGGTAAGGAAAGCGGCAGCAGTTTCTGTCTGCTGTGACGTGTTTGCGTGATTGTAATGTCCCTTATTCTCTTTGGTACTTGTACATAGAAGTTCTGTAGCCAGTTGGAAACAAATCAAAATTTTAGGAGAAAACTCACAGTGACTGCCACTCATTCATACATGCCTGCCACTCATTCTGTAAGCGTGTGGATGGATGGATGTACACAGTATTGCTTTACTATCTGGATTGTTTGTATCATCTTACAGCCTAGGTTAAGAAGCCATGTTCCAAAAGTACCCCTTCTCTGCCACCCCCCCCCCCCCCCCAGCCCCGAGTTATTACTCAAAAGGAAAGTAAATACAGGCCACAGTCTCCAAGGATCCCCCAGGCTTCTGAGGGGAAGAAATCACAAACCCAGCCCTGCCTGTGCTGGGATTGACGGGCTATAGGAGAGGCCCAGCCCAGCATGGGGAGTCAGGAAGGCTGTTTCTGAACTATTCTCAGGGCTAGGTGGTGGAGGCACCTTTCCACCTGCTCACTTTTCTAGACTGGCTAGAGGTGGAGAGATCACTTCAGTATACCTGGTAGCCTGCCGTTAACGAGTTGGCTTCCTGGGGAGCGGAAAGACAAAGAAGAAGGTAATAGAAATAGATGTGACTAGCGGCTGTGTGGTGTCTCTTCCCCTCCCCCTGCGCTCCCAGGGTGGATGTTTTCACAGCCCAGAAAGCCCAGAAGTCATGAGCACACATAGTGGCCATTGAGGAAGTCCCTTTTTCCTCTGATAGAGTTTCCGGGTTCCATTGCCCCAGTCAAATTGGTAAGTTGCATTTGTCCCTGAATTTCAGTTTTCACCCTCTTGGAGCCCTGACTGCTACAGGTGCTGCGTAGGTCCCTCCATGGATGGGCGGCCGCACCTACTGCCAGAGAGGGAGCCTTTCAGAAGTGAGCTCAGGGCTGACGTGGGACCTCTCTTCCCCACATCCCCCAGAATAGTGGGGTGGAAAGTCTGTGTATCAGTGATACTGAGAGGAGCAAGAAAGCCCCCCACAGCCTAAAGTTGCCCACCACTGCCCCCTGGTTGCGCTGCTGCGCAGGCGTGCGTGTAGCTGCCATCTTGCTGTGCTGAAAACGCTGCAGTCTGCTCCTCTGCAGGATTCTCAAAGGCTCTTTGCTGTGTTTCTGCAGCATTTGCTGCATCTTCCTTGATGTTGGAGTCATAATGCCTTTTATTAAAGGCTTCTGAGCCTGAGAAGAGCTGAGTCCTTGTGAAGTTGGCATCTGCCAAGCAGTGGCGCCTTGTCTGGTCGTCAGGGAGATGGCACCAGTGTCCACGTCTTGTGGGGCACAGGCTGGCACTACTTCCATTACTGTTAGAGATGCTGGGAGGATATCTTTGGTTGAATTTCTTGATTCTTACTATTATTTTCATTAAAAAAAAAATTGAATCCTCCTTTAAAGGAGATATCCACAGAAAGATTGCTGGGCCAAAGGTAAGATCCACTTTCTGGCCCTTAACTGTGGTCATTTTCTCTAGAGTTGGTTGCAGTGATGTGCAAATTTTATTGTCTTTGAAAGCCTCTGACTTTGAAGCTCTTACTGTTTTGTAAAATCATGTAAAACTAGCAGTTATATAAAGTGAGAGCCAACAACAAAAAAGAAAGTAATTTCAGAGGGGAGGTGAAATGACAACTGAAGGATTGACGCATCCTGTGTTAAGAACTCACACTGATGTTGAGAGTATTGATACCATTCCACACCAAACTGGAAAACCTCTCCAGTTCAGGGCTGATGTTTTATTGAATGAATGAACAAATAGACCATCTGTGCTATTAAAACTAGCAAATATCAAAGGAAATTCACACTTAAAAAAATGATTTTTTTTCAAACATTCAACAGATGCTTTCTGTGAACACCTATCTTGGAACTATTGACTTTTAATATTAACTTTTTTAATTGGACAATTTTTCTTTGTGAGCTTATATATGTTTTCTGATTACGCATCACATGTGTTTATTTTTTATAGATAAAGCACACAAAAAAGTGAAATCCCTGCTAAATCTGCCACCCATAGATAACCTCTGTTAACTTTCTGGTATATTTCTGTCTGAACTTTTTTTCTGTGTGTCTATTTATTTGTATCTCTTCTTCCTTTTTTCATATTGCAAATTACAGTTTAGAAACACTTTTTACATTATTTTATACCTAGCTACATTTTATGTCTTTCTGTTTTCCCCTTAATATTGTGAACAAGTTAAGCTGTATGCAAAAAGTGATAAGGAGGTGCTACATACCATTTTTTCCTATAGAATATTGCTCTGTACAGTCACTTAAGTTTGCGACTGTTTCTCTCCTAGTGATTGTGCTACTATAGCTTTTGAGAGGATATTTTGTATATTGGTTTCTAGAATAACAGGCTCTTTCCCTCTTTTCAGTGCTGGTCTCTTGTGAAGGAGGATTTCAGTTGCTGGTGCCTGCTTAGGCTCCACCCTTAGGCTCTATCCTGATCTTCCTAGGCCCCATGTGGTCCAGTATGTTTCTCAGAGAAGACCTTCTGTGTGTTCCAGAGGTCCCCCAGCGAGCAGATCACAAGGTGGCGGACATCATCGACCAGCTGGTTGCACGCGTCACTGGAGGCAGCCTGTCTCCCAAAGAGAGAGCTCTTCTCAAGGAGGACCCTGCTTACTGGTAGGTCTCTAAATGGTGCTCTCCTGAACCCACCTGTAAAGTGCAGGGCAGTGTTTCTGTTGCTTTGATGCTGTTCAGAGAAGAAAGTGAAGTGTTTATTTTGAGCTGTGGTGTCAGTCAGTAGGAAGAGTATGAGGGTGGGTCTGGCTCATATGGGTTCAGATTCCTTGTTTGTGCTGATTTGAGGATAAGCTGAGAGACACGGGCAAAGAGTGTAAGATGAGGGATACGTCACAGCAATTGTTTGTGATTTATTTCTGCTCTCTGTTCAACTGTCTTCCTTTTGTCTTACTGCCTCTTCGCTTGAATAGAACAGTTTTTTAAAATTAAAGTTTCTGCCACAAATATTAATACAGTATTTGCTTATTAGAAAAGGAGAAGAAGAGGAGAAAGTTGGGCGAAGCCACCTGTGCTCTCACTGGCGCCCCCTGGCGTTTGGGGATGTTTGTTAGCATCTTTCTGCTCCTTGCAGGCGCTGTGGTCTTTCACATGGTTGTGCTTATGCTGTGATATGCCCTACTCCTTTTACACAGGAAAGTGCTCGTGTTTCCTGCTTTTTGTAAACATTTCAGATGGCTGTGTTTACTGGTCTGCAGGATAGGTGATCAGTTTATTTAGCCATTCCTCTTTGTTGGATTTTTAGAATTTTTTGTTTTTTAAATAACATGCCCTTCCCTTATTCATTTAAATTTTTTAAGTTATTTATTTACTGGATTGAGTCAAGTCTCAGTTGCCGCCTGTGGCCTCTTTCTCTGAGGCGCGTGGCCTCCAGCTGTGGCGCACAGACTCAGTAGCTGTGGTGTGTGGGCTCAGTTCTCTGTGGCACGTGGGGCCTTAGTTCTCCAACGGGGATTGACCCTGTGTCCCCTGTGTTGCACGGTGGAGTCTTTTCTTTTGTAAAAAATTTATTTATTTTTGGCTACGCTGGGTGTCTACTGCTGCGCGCAGGCTTTCTCTAGTGGTGGTGAGCGGGGGCAGCCCTTCGTTGCAGGGCGTGGGTTTCCCGTTGGTGTGACGTCTGTCGCGGAGCATGGGCTCTCAGTGCGTGGGCTTCAGCAGTTGCCGTGTGTGGGCTCAGGAGGCGTGGCCCGCAGGCCGCATTGTCCCTTGGAATGTGGGCTCTTCCCCAGCCGGGGGTCAGACCCGTGTCTGCTGCGTTCACAGGTGGATTTGGACCAGCCGGGAGATCCCCGAATTTTCTGTTCTTGCTGTTGTAATTACTAAAGATGCTTGAAAGGTAAAAATCTCTGTGTAATGGTGCCAGAGCTTTGGTGCTTACCAGTATGATTTCCAGGAGGAGAGTTAGAAATTGTTATGGTTTTAATTTTACAGAATTCTTTTTTTTTTTTTTTTTGATTTTACAGAATTCTTGAATTCACCTAGGCTATGTTCATATGTTGAGTAAGACAGGCATGTAACTTAAAAGGTAAAAAAAAAACAACCCCAGTAACCTAATTGCCCCAGTATCATTTATTGAATACTTTTTATTTAGCAAATCTTTTATTTTTTGTGCACTTGGTACCATTCTAAACACTTTACTGATTTAAGCACTAGCTGGCCGAACCCTCATAAACAACCTCTTGAAGTAGATATGTTGTCATCTTTACAGACAGAAAACTTGAGGCTTAAAGAGGTCTCTTGCCTGGAGGATGCACAGCTAGTGGCAGACAGAGCTGAGATTCACACTCAGGGTCTGTGGTCTCAGCCAGTGCTTATGCTGAAGGAAGGAGTCTAGATAGCCTCAGACTGACAGATGAAAACAGGGACCAGTTCCTCTGGGTAAGATGTCATGTAGACTTGAAAGACCCAGGGACAGTTTCCAGGGGATTGTCGAGGTCATTGGGCTGGAGGGAAAGGGGACCCTGAGAAGACTGGGAGCGTGTGTCCCTGCCCCGTGACCGCTGCACACTCCCCACAGGCTCACGGTCACTGACAGCTGGGGGTGGCAGACAGAATCAGAGCCAGGCTTGGGGATATGTGTGGTGGTGGTGGGAGGGCCTGCAAATCAAACGTAAGCATGTATTTGAGGAAAATCAGCATCATGAAAGAGGATCATCAAACTCAACAGATCTGACACCTAAGACAGAGTTACTCTAAGATAAAGAAGATTGTCTAAAAACATATATGTGATTAATAGTCTTAGATGGATAATAGCATAGTATATCCATGAAATAGGAACTGCTCATTATGGAAAATAGCCAATTAAGGATCTTAGAATTGAAGAATGTGATTGTTGAAATAATCTCAGTGGTTGGCTGATAGAATTGACCTGAATGAAGAACAGATTAGGGAGCTGACTCAGAGACTTGATCACCTGTGAACTCCTTCAGAATTACCCAGAGCCTATAAGAGTGTGCAAACAAAGTGTTAAAAAAACAAACAAACAGTAAACAGGTTTTTGGTGTATATGTTTAAATTCTTAAGTCAAAGTAGTACTTGTATGTGATTTACCAAAAAAATCGATGTTATCACAAAAGGCAAAATGTTTCTGCCATGATCCATTCTCATGCCAGTTCCACTCTTTTTTTTTTTTTTTTTGGCCATGCCAATGCAGCCTGTGGAATCTTTATTCCCCAACCAGGGATCAAACCCATGCCCCTCCTACAGTAGAAGTGTGGAGTCTTAACCACTGGTCTGCCAGAGAAGTCCCTGAGTTTGCTCCTTAGAAACAGTCACTTTTAGTTCTTTAAGCTTCTTTTAACAGTTAACTGTTATATCCCTAGAGATGACACACCTATGCTGCTCTTTTTTTTTTTTTTTTTAAATGCCTGAGCTGTGCGTCTTGTGAGATATTAGTTCCCTAACCAGGGATTGAACCCAGGTCCTGGCACTGAAAGCACCAAGTCCAAACCACTGGCCCACCAGGGAATTTCCCAAAGCATTTTCTTCGTAACAAAAAGTATATAATTCAAGCCTCACAGCAACATGGTGAAGTAAGTTATCGTTATCACCCATCCGATCTTTTAGGTGGAGAAACTGAGGCACAGAAAGATTCAGTAAATCTCCCAGCTAGTAAGTGACTACGCTGGAGTTTGAACCTGGCAGGCTAGCTCGGGAGTACTCTGTGCTTTTGATGTTATGCTCCACTAGAGCTGGGGGAGATGGGCTTGTGACTGATGGGTTGAACCTGCACTTGGCATTAGAATTGACCACAGAAAAGGGCCTCCCGTGGTGGGGATCTGGATCACCTGGCGTTTACTCCACTTTCTGCCGTGGATAGGGGGCTGCATTTGACTTGAGAACTGGAGCATCCGTGTTGGTCCATCTTCCCTTATGTGGGAACCTCAGCTTGTTAGGGTGCGGCCTTTCAGGATGCTGCTGCTGGCCCAGCAGTGTCTAGGGCAGCAGAGGAGCCAGCACAGCCTGTTCCCCCAGGTCCAGCCGGGCCTGGACTGTGCAGTGAGCATCAGCAGGAGCTGCACACAGAGCCGCCCACGAGGGACACGCCACATCACACAGAACTGCCAGCATCCTGCTGTGCACTGCCACCTCACGGCCGGTCCACTTCTGCCACTGGCAGTGGGGAACCTCATCTAGTATATGTGCTGCCGGAGCGAGCACGGGGAACCTCATCTAATACATGATCTCAGTAGCAGACAGTCCTAGAGCCTCGTGAAATACTGCCATACTCACCAGACACTACTTGTTCTTTAACACAAACTGAAGTTGAACATTCATAAAAACCTTGGTATGAATGAGGTCATGGAGAAAATTACAGACCATCCCAGGAAAGGAAAATCATGTTGGCCACATTGTGCAATGCATAAAACTTGAAGCCAGCAACAGCATAAATAAAACTAGCTTCTAATAACTTTTGTATGAAAGAGAGTTAGAATTAAAATTAGAAACTCTTCAGAAGGAAGTAGCAGGTTGGGGGAAAGGTACAATCTTGCGTGTGTTTATCAGAAATAAAGAGTGAAGATAACCATTCAATTCATGAGGCAAGGAAAAAATGGTGAAAAAAGCCCAGAGACTAGGAAGGAAGGGTTAATAAAGATGAAAGAAAGTGCTAATGAAATGGTCTGCAAAGTAAATAATGTGAAAGACCCCTCCATTGCCCTTTCTCACCCACTCCTTAGAGCAAATTCTTATATTTACTTCTTATTCTTTCAACCTGTGTGAAAAAAACCAAATATACATGGATGTTATGTACACAAAGGCAGTTTTATGGGGTATGTTTAATGTTGGATTTCGCTTGTTCTCCATGGGCTGTATCATGGATCTCTTTCTGTGTTAGTACGTGTAATGTCAGCACATGTAACTCAGACTCCTCTTTTCTGTACTCTTCTCCTTATGATTCTGGCACATGATTTCACATCAGTGGCACGCTGTAATTAAAAGGTCGCTGAGTGTCCACCACTGAAGGGTGTCACCTCCTGAAAGCAGTGTCTGGGAGCAGTCCCTGCGATTCCCTGGCAACAGAGGGCTTCCGTGTGGGGCCGCCAGGAGCTGTGAGCTCCTTCATGCTGCTGAAACCGAGGAGGAACCAACCAGTGCTCCATCAAAGCTCCTGGTCACCCTCTGGTCACTCTGAGCAGGACACATGCCCAGGGCTGCTGATGGCAGAGCCTCTCCATCAGCAAGCGGGCCACCAAGTGGAAAGGGTTTGCAGAAGTGTATTCACAGCAGCAATTTGGCTGTGCTGGTATGTTCACAAATGTCCTGCTGTTCCTGTTTTGTTACATAGGTTTTTGTCTGATGACAGTAGTCTGGAGTATAAATATTACAAGTTGAAACTGGCAGAGATGCAGCGGATGAGCCAGACCTTGCCAGGCACAGATGAGAAGCCGACGGCAGCAGAGTGTGCGGTCCGGGCGATGCTGTACGCCCGGGCAGTCCGCAGCCTCAAGAGGAGGCTCGTCCCAGCGCGGCGGCGGGGGCATCCTCGCGCTCATGGGCTCCGGGGCTGCAAAGTGAGGAGAGCCACCACCGGGACCCAGACCCTGCTCTCCTCAGGCACCAGGCTGAAGCACCATGGCCGGCAGGCCCCGGGCTCCCTGCCGGGCAAGCTGCCCCAGCTGGACAGAAATGATGCTGCCAAGGACTGCCCCCCAGAGCTGGCTGGACCCTCACCTCGGGACCCCAGCCCAGAAGCCTCCGGCCCATCCCCCAAACCAGCAGGCATGGATGTCTCTGAAGTCCCTCAGACCTCTTCTCCCTGCCTGTCTGCTGATGGTGAGTGCTCACCCCTGTCCCTGTCCTTTGGGCCCCAGCCCCAACTCTGATCCATCTCCAGGGGTCACTGCAGAGTCAGGCAGCTTCAGTGGGCTGGGCTGGGCAGGGCAGCAGGCGGCAGCAAGAGGGATCCGGCCAGGATGGTGCACACCGAGGCGCTCTCCTCTCGCCTCGTCACGGGGCTGGCCCTGGAGTCCTGCTGCCCCCTTCCTCTTGTCCTGAGTGCGGAGCCCGCAGGAGTGCTGCCGCTGAGTCTACATCTCCCTGCACGGTTCCCCTGCTGGCCAGCAGGGCGTGCCATGTGCCCATGCTTGGGACGTTGAGCTCCTCGATCCCAGTCTCTGTTCTTGCCCCTTGTACTTCTCATCGGGCGGCCCTGGTTTGCGTTCTGTTTCCTCTTCCCTGCTAAGCTCTCTCGTTTCCTTCCTTTGAGTTAGGTGACTTGCAGCTTCTTCTGTTTCTCCCAAGCATTGCCTTCTCCTTCCACAACAGGGCTGCCCTGTGGCCAGTGCTTCCCCTCAGCACTCGATGGGAATGTAGAGGAAAAAATCTACTCAACTGATAACATTTTTCTAGTTATTGCTGTGTAACAAGCCAGTCCAAACTGTGACTTCAAACAGAAGGCATCAAATGTTGTTTCAAGTCGCTAGGCTGGGCCTGCTAGCTGCAGGCAGTGGCCAATAGTCAGGGACTGTTAGCTGAGGAGATGGAGCTTGTGGGCTACATGCTGTCACCCCCCAGCAGTAAGCCTGATGGTTCGCTTGGGTATTCAAGAGCTGCAGAGGAGGTGCTTGAGGCGTCTCAGGCCCAGGCCCCACATTTCTGTCACATCCTCAGAGCGAGTCCCAGGGCCAGTCCCAGTTCAAAGGGAGGAAGGAGAGTCCGCCTCTGCTGCGCAGAGCGGCAGGGGCACGTGGCAAAGGGCCAGACCACAGTCACGGGCCGTCTTTGTAATCAGTCTCCACAGCCCCATGATGTTCACGTGGAGATTGGCAGCTCAGAACCAGTACATGACAGTTGCTTTATTTTGTAGTTGATACGAAGACAATGGAGACTGCAGAGAAACTGGCCAAATTTGTTGCTCAGGTGGGACCAGAGATTGAACAGTTCAGCATAGAAAACAGCATTGACAATCCTGACCTTTGGTATGTACCCATCGCACCCCTTTGATCCTTGCTCGCCTCATGAGTGTCCTGAGAGCCCACAGAGGGCCGCCCCCAGGACAGAGCATGACTTCTCTTCCGCCGAGCTCAGGGCTCTTCGGGAGAAGCATCTTCTGGGGTTGTTGGGGACCTGCCCTCATCTGGGGCGTCAGGAAAAGCCGCCCCCAGAGGGGAGTTTAAGCTGGATCCAGAGGCCCAGTGGGTGTTGGTCAGGGGGAGGGGGAGAGAATGCCCTGGCAGCAGGATGTGTCGGTTCCCCAGAACCTTTGCAGAGGCAAAGAGGAGAGTGTGTCCTCGCCCGTGAGGCTGAGGAGGAGGGCACTGTCCCTGCTCATGCTGGCAGCTCTGGGCAGGATGAAAATGTGCTGCTTATGAAGCATGATGATGGGTTTTGGTCCAGGTGTGAGCAACAAGCACTTCGCCGTAGTAGCGGCTTGGCACCCTTGTCCGCCTTCAGTGGGGTCAGCATTCAGCATTCTACAGCCCGAAGGCCATAGAACCCACCCTGCCTATGCTGCGAATTCTCCTTAGGGGGGAAGCCGCCTGAGGGCCATGTGTTCTCAGTACTGAGCCTTAACTTGGCTGAGCTCCCCTTGCATTGGGAGGGATTCCCATGCTATATGGATTGCATCCTACTGCCAGCTAGGGGTTCTGGACCCTTGCCCTGTTCCCAACGTGCCAGAGAGTTGTGCCTTAGTTTACTTAAGGATATGGTTAAAAATTTCACATTCCTGGAACATTTTTGGGAGTCAGCGTGTCTAAGCTCTTCTAGCAAATTTGGATGTTGAGTAGGTCCTGCACTGGGTACCTCTTACTTCCTGTGAGGCCCACACCAGCCACATGGAGCACTGGTGGCCTTGCAGGTACTCAGCCTAGTACTGCCTTTTACAGGCCTTGGGGCTGCTGGGCCTTACAGGTCTTAGAGCTGGGCTGCCACCACATGCAGGACCTCACACTGGCAGGCCCAGGCATAGGGGACAACTCGGTGAAGGGCAGGCTGGAGCATTTCAGCAGTTTTCTTTTTTCTCCCAATGCAGAAAGAGAACTCTGCATTGTCCTGCTTACTTGGTACTGGCAGGGCTTGGTGTTATTCCTCAGCCTCTGTGGCAGCCTTTTCTGAGCAGTGCTCCTCAGAAGATGCTGTCCCCTTTGTCCCCTGCAGAGAGAGCCAGAAAACTCCAGCAGCCTCAGGTGGGGTGATGCATTTTCACCCCCGTTGCTCATAGCATAGTTGGAAAATGACTGCACCCAACACCCACCTATTTAGTGAAAGGCAAGATGATCTTGTGTTTCTTTCCCTTAGAAGAATCACACCTGTAATGTGTGTAGTCGTTGCTTCAGTTAATTTCATTTTGTGTTTGTGGTTATGTCATCAGTTTGACACAGTCAAGTTCATTTGTTTCTGCTGAGAATCTATTTGAAGGCTTTTTTTCTTATCCTTTTTAATTTTTAAAATAAGTCCAGAATTTGTATGGTTCTAAAGTAAAAATTACAAAAGGTAAACTCAGAGAAGTCTCATTCCCCCTATCCATCGATAATAAGAAACCATTTTCATTTATTTGTAGTGTGTGTGTGTGTATTTCCCTCTTAGTTCCCATAGCACAAGTAGGTTTCTGCATGTAATAGGGCCTTTTGTACCTCGCTTTTTTCCCTTCACAACACACCCTGCCCCACCTGTGTCCTCGCTCTCCAGGCTGTTGTCTTGTCCTCCCCACACAGGCACATCTCACCCTGCTCCCAGTGTGCTTGAGAATACAATTAGGAGGGCTTCCCTGGGGGCCCGGGGGTTTGAGAGTGTGCCTGCCAGCACAGGGGACATGGGTTCAGTGCCTGGTCCCGGAAGATTCCACATCCCCTGTGCGCAACTGCTGAGCCTGCATGCCACAGCTACGGAAACCCAAGCACCCTGGGGCCCGAAATGAGAGGCCACCAAAATGAGAAGCCCGCCCACCTCAAAAGAGCGACCCCTGCTTGACGCAGCTAGAGAAGCCTGCACACAGCAACAGAGACCCAGCACAACCAAAATTAAATAAATACATCTTGGAGAAAAAAGAGTACAATTAAGAGATCTGCATGGGCTGGACTTGCAAAGGGATCAACCTGCCTTTGGCAAGAGTTTTACTGCATCCTTCTTTGGAAAAGAAGAAACATAAAAAGAAACAGCTTGTTCAAAGTCCAAATTCTTACTTTATGGATGTAAAAAGTCCAGGTAGCTACAAGATTACCCTGGTTTTCAGCCATGCTCAGACTGGTGCTTTGTGTAAGTTGTTCACTCGTGTGGTGTCAGCCAACAGGAGAAAAGACCAGATTCACAGAAGGGTGTTCATGTAGAAAAGCAGCACTGATGATCCACACACCTTCCTGAGCTCGTGTTCTATCACAGGAAGCCCTATCAGTTCAGTAATTCCAGTTCATCTGCCTAGATTAACTAATCATGTTTAATTTTGTAAGGTATACAACTTGCTCTCCTATTTTGATGTCAGTTTTTCAATAAAGTTTTGATTATGGGTGAAAAAATACAATTAAAAATCTTTCCTGTAGCACAGAACAAGTTTAAATATTTTTCTAAAAAGCTGCCTGTTGTCCCAACACCATTTGTTGAAAAGGTGGTTTTTTTCCCACCTTCATCAGATACTGTGTTTCTGGTCTTTCTCTTGATCTGTCTGTCCATAGGCCAGTATCATACTGTTAAAACTGTATAGGCTTTACACACCTCGTAATATGTGGTGGAGCTGGGCCTCTTACTGATCTTGTTCCGGGGGTGTTCCTAGATATTCTTGCATACTTATGTTTCTGTATGCATACCTGGTGACTCAGATGGTAAAGAATCTGCCTGCAGTGCAGGAGACCTTAGTTTGATCCCTGAGTCAGGAAGATCCCCTGGAGAAGGAAATGGCAGCCCACTCCAGTATTCTTGTTTGGAGAATCCTATGGACAGAGGAGCCTGGCAAGCTATAGTCTATGGAGTCACAAAGAGCTGGACACTACTGAGAGATTAACCCTCCACTTCATGAACTTAAGAATCACATTCAACAGCAACAATAAAAAAAAGAATCACATTCAGATCCAGAAAAAAAAAATGATGCTTTTACTTTTATACAGTAATATTTAGTTAGGGAAGAATTGACTCTTATGAGGCTGAGTTGTCCTTTCCAAGAACAAGGGCTCTTTCCTTTGGCCCAAGTATATTTTGTGTGTTTTTGGTTTTTCAGCACCAGCCACACCTCCAAGCTATGACTAAGGCCATTGAACTCTGAGGTGCAGAGAGGCCTTGTTGCCCCCGTATTCACACAGCTTTGTTGCAGGACGTGAGGCAGGAGGTGCTGTGGTTGACACACCTTTCTCCATCTCGTGGCTGGAGGGCGGGAGGAACAGAGAGTCACAGCACACACAGGCCTAGAGTGGCCGGTGACGTAATTAGAGAGAGATGAGGTAAGGCCCAGGCCGGATCTCCTGGGTGTGGTGTTGGAGCTCGTTCCAGCCTGTTCCCTGAATGTCCCTGCATACCATGTTCCTCCAACTCCCTCCCCAAGAAAGCAGTTAGGCCTCTTATGTTTCTGGCTCCTTTGTTAAATTAGTAATACTCCTCAAACTTTCTATCTCATTGTAAGGCTGACCATCAAGAAAGAAAGGCTGCCTTTCTACCACAGCTGGTAAAGAGGCCATGTATCTGCTGCTTTGTGCCACACCACTTCTCTCAGGTCCATTTGGACAGTTTCAGCAAATAGGAATGTTAAGAGAACCCTCTGGGTAACCAGTGTATTTCATCTTTATCTAGGTTTCTACATGACCAAAATAGTTCGGCTTTCAAATTCTATCGAAAGAAGGTATTTGAACTGTGCCCGTCGATTCGCTTTACGTCATCTCCACTGACGCTCCATGCCAGCGAGCGCGCCGATTCTCAGGAGAGCCCCCTGGGGCCCCCGGAAGGAGAAGGGGAGTTTGAGGACGAGCCCTCTCAGCACGAGGCTGAGCTGGAGAGCCCAGAGGCAATGCCTGAGGAGGAGGACGACGACGAGGAGGACGAGGAAGGGGCCGAGGAGGCCTCCCCGCCTGGAGCGGCCTCCAGGCCAGCAGAAGGGGCCAAGCCTGAGGGCTCGGAGGGCAGCCCCGCAGCCGACGGCCTCCTGAGCGAGGTGGCTGAGGACAGCCCGGCTGGGGGGCCTGCCCTGGCCCAGGCCTCCTCAGGGGCCTGCTTCCCCCGGAAGAGGATCAGCAGCAAGTCACTCAAGGTCGGCATGATCCCGGCTCCCAAGAGGCTGTGTCTCATCCAGGAGCCCAAGGGTGAGTGCCTGGGTGTTGGTCCAGTGACCACAACGCTTCTTCTCTTTAATACCTGAGGAGGGATGGTGCTCAGCTGGGGTCCATGGAAAATCGTGGAGACATGGCCTGTTTTGAGGAGTTTACCTGACCCCCCCAGCCCAAGTTTAGCTGTAAGATGACTGGCTGGCCCCTGTCGTCCCTTCTGCCTCTGATTACTCCAGCTAACCTGGGCACTACCTTTCAGAATCCCCCCCAGGGCCAGCACAACCTGGGGCTCTTTGGTCTTGTATTTTATTTAACCTAAAATAGTCCTATTGGTCTTGCACACAGTCCAAAATGTTCATGAGAAACTGACGTTTCCAGTTGGTCCAGAGATGGCACTCTAAGGAGATGCTGCCTTTGGCTTCTAGCACCCCACATGTTGCTTGTTATTTTCCGTTATTGCTCAGCTTCCAACAGGGGAGTCCTGGCTGTGGAAGGAACAGGCCTGGGGCATCTTGGCTGTGTACTGCCTGTGATCTAGAGGGGTGCCCAGCTTTCTGAGCACTGCCCCCACCCCCCCCTGCAAGGCCCCAGGGTAGTGATACTGCTTGATGATGTTGAGGCAGGGGCCATGGGGCAGTCTGGGACAGCAGTTAGTGGGACCTGTGGAGCCCATGCTCTGCCAGCCTTGGCCATGGAATGCCGTCTCCTTCTCACCTATAGGGAGGGTCAAAGTTCTTGAGGTACAATTTACCAGCAATAAAAGTGCGCTCTTTTCAAGTGGCTAGTTCATGGAGTTTTGGCAAAGGTGTATAGGCATGGGCCACCTGGCACTGCTGAGCTGGAACTTCTTCCAGAAGTGTCTCTCTGTCCCTCCACAGTCTCCTCTCCTACCTGGCCACAGCAACCACTGACCATTTTCTGGCCTTGTGGTTTTGCCTTTTTTGGACTGTCAGCAGGTAAATCACATCATGTGCCACTTTGGGTGGGCTCCCTGCTGCCCACCCAGGTCTCCACACAACCAGGCCTGGGCCATGTTTCTCCTGCGGGGCTGATCCTTCGATGCTTGTGTAAGAGGAGGTGGTTTTGGTGAACAGTGCTGCAGTGTGTGTAGAATCTATGTGCTCTAAGTCATTAAGAACATCATATTCACACCCAGCAGTATCAGTCTAGTTTCTCCTGCTAACAGCTCTCATGGTTTCTGTTTAGAAACGGTGTTGCAATCGATTGCTAACTCTCTGTTAAACTCTTCTGTCCTTCAGAACTTACCAGAGGGCAGTAGCACATCAGAATACTTGTTATGATGGCCTTCATGGGGGAAAAGTGGGATTCTTTCAATTTTAGAAGCTCTCAGTTATTTGATAGGGTGGTTGATGAGATAGTACCAGACCTGCTAGTCTCTTCCTTTGTCAAATTTAATAATAATGATGATATGATCTAGTGCTCTGTATGAGAAGTGCGATTGTTTTTACTGGAAAGTTCTGTGTGGACTTTAGTTCTTCATCTACGGAATACTTGCAGAGACATGGAAGAGGGCACAGTGTCACAAATTGGTCATTTGTTGAAGCAAAATGCATTCCTCCAGTCACGGAAAGCAGTGCATGTATTGGGTCCATCATCGTAAATGTGGCAGTCACACTTAAGGAGACTCTCCCACAACAAGGCAGCGCTCAGCTGAGCCTCTGTGTTCGTTTCTGCGCTCTGCGGGCCAAGCGACTGGCCCCGAAGTACAGCTCCTAGCTGCCTCTGTCGGCAGAAAGGCCGTTAGCCAGAGCTGCAGCATACTTGTCTTCCAAGTGTCAGTAATTTGGGGAAAGGACATGTGTATTTGTATATATACATTTCTTTTGTCTTCCAGTTCACGAACCAGTTCGAATTGCCTATGACAGGCCTCGGGGTCGCCCCGTGTCCAAGAAGAAGGTGAGCATGGCTGAGTGTTCTCACATGTGACATAGAGCTTGCCCGAGTTCTCAAGGGTACTGACTGCAGGCTGTACTCACTCTGCAGGCCAGGTGTCAACATACAAAGAACATCACACAGCCTTATCTCTCTTAAAACTGTTTTGCATTGCCCAGAGCACAGGATGGAGTAATTAGTCTATTTAATGGATGGGTAAGGCCTGATGTATGCAGTGAATCAGAGAGATGAACAAGATAGTGTCTCAGCCATTGAGAGGTTAATATTTACTGGACTACAATTGTGGTTAAAAGAGTGCGCGGCTTTGCTAGTAAGCTGAGCGTGTGTGTGAACGCATGCGTGCGCAGGTGTTCATTAACGAGCCAGCACCTCCCCCCCGTGCTCTTTTCCGTCTGCCCACCCAGAGGCAGCAGTGAGCAGGGCTGTCGGCAACAGAGACGTGCAGAACCGGGAATGGTGGGTGAGGACGAGCACGGTGGGAGGCCTGAGAGAGGCCCCAGGGCAGACACAGGTCGGCAGAGCCCTGTGGCCTGGAGCGGAGCGGCGGGGGTGGGGCGCTGAGGACGCGGAGGTGGCAGCAGCCGGGTCACGTGGGGTCTGTAGGTGGGTGTCAGCACTGTGCCCCTTCTTTGGGGAGGTGTCAGGGAGCCATCCCTGGTGGGGATTTGGGTAGAAGACATGGTCATTAGGACTACTGTGCGGAAAGCAGCCTGTGTGCTAGCAGGCCAGGCAGAGCTGAGGCCCAGGTGGTATGAAGTGGAGTTGGTGGGACTTAAGGATGGACTGAACGTGGACTGGGAAGCCAAGAAGAGTCCGGGGTGACTCTGGGGTTGTCGGCCTGGACAGTTAAGGGAACAGGGCTGCTGTTGACTGAAATGGGGCTCCCCTGTGGCGGGTGGGTCATTGGAAGGAGATGAGAGCAAACTTCAGTCAAGTGAGGCTGGCCCAGCTCACCTGGGACACACGTGGGGACATCACAGGGCCCTGGCAGTCCAGGAGGTGAGTGGGGAACCAGGTGTCTCTGCGGGTGTCCGGGGTGAGGAAAGCCCGTGTGGTGGCTCAGACTGTTCTGAGTACATCACGCCAGTCTCAGCAGACAGATGAAGCGTCAGTGTGACCTCAGTTACAGCTGGGAGCAGGAACATCCCTGTGCCTGAAGCATGTGTTTTTAACAGGTGTGTTGAGTTTTAAGCTGAGCCAGCTCCCAGGTGCCGTCTGGTGAGGCACAGCCTGCTGAGAAGGCAGCCGTTCCAGGCTCAGCCTGGCCATCCAGTCTTGGCATGAGGTCCTGTTTGTACAACTGTAAAGTGGGACAGTCGCACCTACCTTGCAGGTCGGAGATCCTGCAAGGATTAAATGAAATGGTGTTAACCAAGCGTGCAGCCAGCCGGTATCCTGCCACAGTGGGTCTCTGGGGTGATTGCTGACAGGGAGGAGGTCTCTTCTGTGCACTCCGCAGCCTGGCCTCAGGTGCATGGCTTTGCTTTAGCCCCAGGAGACCGGGCAGGCTGATTGTCAGACACAGTTGAAAACTCACCAAGATCTGTCCGGCTCAGTGGACCCCTGTTCCTCTTGTTGCTTCCACTTGCGCAGCTTCCCTGAAGTGGGGTGCAAGCCTGCCTTTGGGGGACCCGTGGCCAGCCTTTCCTGTCCCTTCTCCATCCTCTTTCCACCCACACTTGTACCATCCCTGCTGCTCCTAGCTGCCTTGATCAGGACACAGGAACCTTCTCCCTGGGAGCGGATGAGCCGCTCTCAGTCTCCCCAGGCCGAGGTGGATTAAAGAAACAAGCTCAGGCCTCAGGCCGCAGGAACTGTGAGGCCTTAGCTGCCCAGACTTTGCAGCACACAGTAGGTGACCATGAATATTCATGAGTGAATGGAAATCCCCGCAGCTCACCCAGAGCAGCTGTCTCCTCCAGAGGCCTCTGGGCCTTTTCATTTGTCTTTCCACAGCCTGCTCTGGAGCACAGATCTCTGCCAGGGCTTCTCACTTCTCCACCCACAAGGTCATTTCCAGGCCCCATCCTTCCCAGCAGTACCCACTCTCAGCAAGGTCTGCTCTGTGCTAGACACGGACCCCCGAGTCCAGGCAGAACCTCATCCCTGCCCTTGGGGAGCAGTCAGAGCTCAGACACACACAGGTCAGTCAGGGTTGGTAGTAATGCCTGAGGACTGCCTAGGGAGCTTCCAGGGTGGAGCCACTGTCCAGCGCGCTCTCAGGAGTGAGTGAAACCATGAGGGAGGAGTGGACGTGGAGTAGAGAGGACCCTTTGAGACGGTTTTCCTGAACAGCCTCTCTCTGTGCCTGTCTGGCCCCCTTCTGCGTTAGCCCTGCTTCTTCTCTGACTCTGGCACTCCAGGGGCTTCCTGCCTCAAGGCCTGTTCCACCCAGCCTGGGATATGCCCCCTGATGACCACATGGCCACTTTCTTTATTCAGGTCTCCACTCTGGATCTTCCTAGTCAGAACTTCTGGGCCCAGTCCCTACCATCCCCTCACAAAGTTTAGTTCACAGTCTCAACACTGCAGCAAGAGTGGTCGCAGCGAAGCCTGAGAGAAGGGTCTGGTTCAGTTCTCTGGGGACACTTCAAGCTGTGACCTCCAACCTTTACAAATATCAGCCCACCCAGGGAATGTTGCCAGGACTGTGACTTGATCTTGAGCATCTAGGGGATCAAAGGGGCGTCCAGGGTGTTGGTACTGGACCATGTCCAGGTGCAGCCCAGGGGAGACTCTTGATCCAGGCGCTTTGCTGCCCCTCATGTGCCACACTCTTCTCTCTCCTCAGAAACCCAAGGACTTTGACTTTGCCCAGCAGAAGCTGACCGACAAGAACCTGGGGTTCCAGATGCTACAGAAGATGGGCTGGAAGGAGGGCCATGGCCTGGGCTCCTGTGGGAAGGGCATCAGGGAGCCCGTCAGCGTGTACGCGGCAGGTGTCGGGGGCCGGGGGGGCGGGCAGCTGTGCCCGGGGAGACAGGCTCTCTGGGGGATTCTGGCCCTGAGTCCTGTGACCAGCACCCTTTGGTTTCCCTGATGTTGAACGTGGCTTCTAGCAGGTCATTTCCCTGTTCAGGTGTTCACACAGATTCTGGCTGCATTTGCATAGACTTGCTCCTTGGCATTGGGCCACGTTCATTATTATCAGAAAAGCTGAGTGGTAATTCTAGGTAGTTACGCTAACAGCCACTTCCCTATTCCGGGAACCCACACTCAAACTAGCCAGGAGAGAGCATGGCCCACAGTTTAGGAAGCCCCGCTAACATGCAGCAAGCATTTCTGTTAAAAGTGAGCTTAGCACCTGCTGGGGAGGCTTTCTGCTGTAAATAAGGGGCTGGCTTCTGAGCGCGCTTCTCAGAAGGCCCACAGGCCTGCACAGGTGAGTATCCCTTGTCCCCACCGTGAGCTGTGTCCTTATTTCCTCTTTCCCTTGCTGTCACTGGCGTGTGCCCCTCTGGCTGCTCAGGCCGTGTCCGTCCCCTGGTGGCCAGGCCACGCGCTCAGTCGTGGCTAACTGTCCGTTTTGCTCCTCAGGGGAAGCTCGTCAGAAGGGGAGGGGCTGGGTGCCGACGGGCAGGAGCACAAAGAAGACACGTTCGATGTCTTCCGTCAGAGGATGATGCAGATGTACAGACACAGACGGGCCAGCAAATAGGTATGTGTGTGAGCCGGTGGGGGGCGCTCTGCCTGAGCCGGCGTGCCAGGGCGTAGAACACAAACACCAAAGTATCACTCCCCCCAAAATCGTAAACCTGAGGGAAACACTAGGGGTGTTTGGCTGTGGGTGCGTCCCGCCTCTCACCTTCCAGGTTTGGCTGAAGGAGCGAGCCCCCGCTCACCCTGCGCCGCTGCCTGCAGCCTGTGGTGGGGCCTGAGCCCTGGGCCGTCCTGTGGAAACAAGCTGCCTCGGGAGTGGCCTTGTGTCCTGCACGTGTAAGGGTGACCTCGAAGCTGGCACCGCAGAGGACGCCACTTGTACCTCGTCTCGATTTGAGGGTCTTCCAGTCCTTTTCCTTCCGGAGGGCCTTTGGCCTATAAATATCCTTATCTTTCTCCCCTCCTCGTAGTTTTCTTCCCCGCCCATAATTTCCAACTCAGTTTTGAACAAAATCGTTCTCTCCCTGAATAGATGAAAACCATTGGTGAGAAAGATAAGGCTTGAAGCAGCAATTACTCTTAAAACGCCACCTCTGTCCCGGATCAGCCCTGGAGCCAGTGCCCAAGTATGTTTGGTGTGTACACGGAAAACAAACATCTCTGCAGTTTCTGGTGTGGAGGTTCCACCCGCTGGCTTTTCTTTTTCTTAAAAAACAAACAAAATGCCCCGTTTCTAGTCTGCTTTTGCCTTTCCCCCTTCTTCCAAATGCTTTTGGCAGCAGGTCTTCTGCAGGTCTCTGCTGGTTCCACTCAGAAGGTGGGGTTGCCCTTGAAAGCACCAGCGCCCTGTAAGTGCCCGGAACCAGCCTCCGTCGGGTTTCCTGCTCAGGACACACTGCTCTCTGAAAACGATCTGTTGGCAAACTTAATCCTGAAATAGTCATGGATTGTGTCTTCTCAAATTCAAATAGGGAATATGAATCAGGAATAATGAAGCCTGTGCTCTAGTACCACAGCCTGTCGGTCTGAGTGCTGAAGCTCTTTACACTAGTGGATTCGATGAACATATTATTTATGGAGTCTCAACTCTTAAATGCATCCCTAGAGACTTAATGAAAGTTCACCGATGTATTCAGCAGCTTAATTCATTGGGGAGTAATTATTACACTAATGAAACTTTCCCCAAATTTACATTCTCTTTAAAATCCACAAAGCAAACTAGTTTTTTTTTTAACCACATATGGAGTGTTTCCTGCAAGGGGTCAGAGGGTGAACTCTTCAGAGTTCCGTTTTCTGCCTGCGTGCAGCGTAAGGAGTTGTTTTGTTAGGGACAGAAAGGGTCCTCTTGGGGTGGGCTCTGCAGCTGTTTGCTATTTCAAGACGTATGATGGCCGCCCCTTCCCGCTTCTCACACTCCACCTCTTGCAGCTACATGTGGAATTCTCAGGCTGGGGGATCTCTCAACCCTTCATCAGAAAGCAGCAGTGTTGAAGTTTTAAATATGTGTTAAAACCTGAAAAAAGAGATCCTGCTGATACTGTGAGCTTGGGGGACACAGCAGTGAATGACCCCATCAGCCACTTCTATTGACAGTTATGAAATCCTCATTTTCTCAAATCTTCAGCTCTCCTGGGCTATAGTACCAGCCTCCTCTGGATCTCTCTCTGTCTGGCCCGCACTCATTGGCACAGCGTCGCATTCCCACCTGATGCTGCCTGTCTTCATGTCACGGGCAGTCCCCAGAGCTCTGCTTGCTTCTGGTCACTTCTGTTGTTTTGGCAGATGTTTATGGGTGGACGTGTTGGAGGTTCTTCAGCAGAGTTGAAATAGCCTGCAGGGGTGGTGTGGTTTGGGGGAACCGCCTCCTTTTTTAATCGTTCCAATAGCCTTCCATGTTGGCTGTGACTCAGGCAGAGTGATTGAACTCTGAGGCCTGGGCCTCGGTCCCCCATGGCCTGTCACGGAGCGCGCATGCCCAGCACACGCCCAGGGTGAGGTGTGCACCCCCAGCATGGGTTCTCGCTCTCCCAGCGTAGCTTTGACCATCACATTCACTTTGTCCTAGTATGTCCTTGTTAGCTTTCTGCTCTTATTTGTAAGTACAGTGCTTCAGGAATTCCCAGGACCCGAGCCCTATTCAATCCACAGCTCCTGCCACTCCTCCTGGGGGTGTCCTGCTGTGGCTGACACTGAGCCTTTGGCAGACATCAAAGGGAACACCTCCTTCCTGAGCCTGGGAAGTCCCGTGAACACTCAGGTGACATTCCTGTGGCGATGGCATTGAGGCAGTCAAGGCGCTGTGGGGGCCAGGGAGGCGCGTGGCGGTGCGTCCCGCCCGTCCCCGGGGACCAGCGCGCTGGCCCCATGCCCGCCCTTGCTCTCTCCGGCAGAGGCCACTCTGCAGGGGGCATGCGCGCCAGCAAGCGTGACGTGCAGCTGCGTGGCCTCGTCAAAGTCACAGTGTCTTTTCTGTCATTCTAGTTCCAGGGGCTCTTCCGTGAGGACGACAGGCATCCGGAAAGTGCTAGCTCGCCACTTTGGGTGCTTACTGTCTCTGCCTTGTTTCCGTCACTGGAAATCATAGAGAATTTTAGCTTTTTGGTCCTTGGTAAAACCTAGAAGACATTTGTGATGTTACAAAATGAAAGTTTTGGGGGTTTGGGGTTGTTTTTTCTTTTCTTCTTTTTTTTAATCTAAGAAGTTGTGGATGTTGTTAATCATTTAGCAGTTGAAATAAATGTAGAGAAAACCCAATTTTCCATGGTCTCCATTGATGCATTTTTCAATCATACTGGCTGGGGAACATGTGGTGGATGTGGTGGGGCCTACATGGAGACAGACTGTAAAATTGCTGCCTCTCAGGCATGTGCTCTGCCAGCCGGGGCCTTTCTGACTGCCCTGCTGCAGCTGGGGGGCCTGGTAAGTCATGAGGAAAGCCTGAAGAGTACCAGAGAGCAGGTAGTGATCAGGGCCAAGCATAGCGGCTGGGTCCACCATATTTTTTGTGGAGAATGAGGGGTGAGTTGCTGGGTGCAGAAATCTGCCTTTGAGAGTGTATCAGGATATGGGAGCTTTACCTGAGCCTCCCACAGTTCACCTGCCCACCTCACAGCCTTCCCAGGGTTGGGATTCCAGCTGCCAGAGTTAGACCAAGGCCCACTCGGGCTTCGCCCTGACTTAGGAGCCAGCCTGTGGAGTATCTTCAGCGCTCGTTGCTGTTCCCAGGTGTAGCCCTGTCTGTGTCTGCTTGCTCCATCAGCAGCCCCTTGGCCCTTCTGGTGAGGAGGGAGGGTCCAGAGCACACAGGCAGGCAAGCCTGGCATCAGCAGGGCCTGTGGGGACCTCCATCTGAGCACAGCCTGCTTGTGCCCAGGGTCGCAGACAGCCCAGGAAGGTTTGGGGGGCTTTGTTAGCAAGTTAGGGGTGGAGGAGACAAGACCCCTTAGGAAGTGGTGTGGGTCCTCTGAACCGCTCCTCTCACTGTCCCAGAGGGCACTCAGGACTGACAGGGGCCCACATAGCCGTGATAGGAGGTCTTGTCAGCCAAGAAGCCACACGTTTGCTGCCGTCTTCCCCAGAGCCCTGGAGGTGGAGTCTGACCACGACACCTGCTGCTGCCTGAGAAAACTGCTGAGGACCTGTAAGGAGCCCCCGCCCACCGGCCCCACTCTCCTCCTTCCTCTTGGGAGACCCCCTTCCCAGCTCTATCACTGCTCAGGGCTGGGGAAGACACACAGAACAAGGTTCTCCACCCAGGAGAACTCAGGACGGTCTTAACCTCAGGCCTATTTCCCTCTGCGATTTGAGAAGGATTTCTTTCAGTTTGGAAGGTAAAATTTCCTCTGCTACCTTGTCATTTAGGGCTGATTGGAACCTGAACATACCATTACCAGCGTGGATGGCCTCTCCCCACCCCTTCCTCCCCCCTCATCCTCCCCTCTCCTGGGAAGCCTTCGGACCAGGACCTTGAGAAAGGCAGATGGTGCTGCTGGAGAAGCTCTAGTCTATGGACCTATGTAACATGCACATGTAATACATACCCAGGCAACATGAGTATGTTTTCTTTGTAAAAGATTTTTTAAAATGCAAAACCCAGATAGATGCAGAACAAAGCACAGAGGTTTCCCCTCTTTCCCACTCCCATGTAAAAGTAACAAAAAATAAAAATTCTTAAGACTCACCATGCATGCTACCTTGCTCCTTGGAAGCAAAGCTATGACCAACCTAGACAGCTTATTAAATAACTTTGCCAACAAAGGTCCATCTAGTCAAAGCTATGGTTTTTTCAGTAATCATGTATGAATGTGGGAGTTGGACTATAAAGAAAGCTGTGAGCACTGAAGAATTGATCTTTTTGAACTGTGGTGTTGGAGAAGACTCTTGAGAGTCCCTTGGACAGGAGATCCAACCAGTCCATCCTAAAGGAAATCAGTCCTGAATATTGATTGGAAGGACTGATACTGTAGCTGAAACTCCAATACTCTGGCCACCTGATGCGAAGAACTGACTCATTTGACAAGACCCTGATGTGGAAAAGATTAAAGGCAGGAGGAGAAGGGGACGACAGAGGATGAGATGGTTGGATGGCATCACTGACTCAATGGACGTGGGTTTGGGTGGACTCCAGGAGTTGGTGATGGACAGGGAGACCTGGCGTGCTGCAGTCCATGGGGTCGCAAAGAGTCAGACATGACTGAGCAACTGAACTGAACTGAACTGCCTGCTACCTAGAGACTTGCTTCCTCATGGTCTAAACAGTCTTTCCACATGAGTATAATTTTCAAGTACTGTTTGTGAATAAGTAATACCTAGCTAAAGTCAAAATGTACAGAATTGTGTTCCATGGGAAAATAATTTTCCACAACCCAAGGCACCCAGGCCTCAGATCCCTTTGTGTAGATGATTTTAGATATGGGCATGTTTTAGACAGAACCCTTCTTAAAAATGCAAATTATACTTCACATTCTATTCTGCCTTCTGTGATTTTTCACTTAACTTTCAAAAATACATTTACATATATATATGTCTTG